AAAAAGCGTGAATGTATTAGTTTGACGCATTTTCATTTCTGCCATATGCGACCAAAAGTATAGGAGGTTCTTTCATCTTTATTCGCAATCGTTAGTACGGTATAGATCATGGAGACTTTATTCGAATCTCCATTCGGTACTTGATAGATAACTTGGCTTTGACTGCACCCTTCCTTTCCAGAAATGCGGCGCAGGTCCAACATCGTACGATTGCAGCTGCTGCAAGGGCTTGAAGGGCAAAGAGGGCAGTCCTGGTGTACTAGGCAAGCAAGGGCGGCAAGGTGACTACGGTGACGTAGGCTTTCCGGGACCGCAGGGCAGCAAGGGTGAAAAAGGGGCGGACGGAGATTATGGAACCATGGGAGAAAAGGGCACTTTCGTAAGTAGGAATGCTTTGAAAAAAATACCAGCTTGAAACGGATTGTTTTTAAGTTGTGATGAACTTCTATTGCAAAACCCAAAAATGATCACGTTCACCATGATTCTGATAGTAGCAAAATCTGATATACAAATATGAGTTGGTTAAATGTTAATAAACTTAAATTAAGCAATAGTAAAACAAAATAAAACTACTGTTTCAAGAGCAATCTTTCAAAAGTATCAGTAAAGATAGAGTTTTCCATAATCTCAGCCTATATTCCAAAAAAATGTGTGTAACACTATAATTTCTTTCCCAATTTTTATATTGTTCAATAAGTTTGTTCACAGCAAATGAAAACATGATTTCAAAATTACAAATTCTACAAAATAAAGCTATGGGAAACATTTTAAATAAAGACAAATATGCTAACCCGCTGTTATAAGAACTAGAGTGGTTGAATATTAAAAAATGTATATGTTATTTAGTTCCCGTTTACATATTCAAATTAAAAAACAATTTATTATCACCAGATTTAGAAAACGTCACAAGATTAAATAGCCATTACCATAACTACGAAATAAGAAGCAGCTTAGATTTTCATCTACAAAATCTACAAAAGGGAGCGTTGAATTTAATAAATTGAATAATAATAATACTAAACATAAAAAATGTGTAAGGTGAAATTAAAAAATCGCTGTATGAATAGTGATGTAATTTTAATAAACACGACTGTAAAATTACGGAAAAATGATTCTCAAAATGTGTAAACGAATAATTTTACAAAATTGACATTACACAAGCAAACAAAATATAATAACTACGATTCCTTCCAGGGTGATCGAGGTTTCGCAGGTATTCCTGGACCAGCTGGAGCTATGGTAAGTACCACTACGAAATTCTGACTCAAAGACTCGATAATGTCAGTTTTAGACTTAGCTAGTTCGAATACAATCTGCAAAGACACTAAAGAGTGAGATTTATATACCTTCCATGAAGATTGAGGTTTCCTTGGAAGCAATATACACGAACAAACTAAGATAATTTATATTTTTATAAAGTAGACACATGGGATTTTTTTTTAAATAATGTCATTAATATGTAAGCCATCATGATGAACGCGGCTCTTGAGATATCCCCAGAGAAAAAAATCCATGGGCTCCGTTGATGTTTTGATTTGGGATTTTCTGCGGCCCAATACAGGTGACTTTGCTTGTTGACAAATCCACTAAAATGAAAATGAGTTTCATCAGAAAAGAGAATATGTGTATTGTTCAAACTTGGAAAGCGCTCAAACATTGTTACTATTTCCAAGGAGAGATCCATCGTTTCCAAGGAAGTCTCAGGCTGTTGCAGTCAGAATAGAAACACTAAAACCTTGGAATCCAGGTTCACAAAAAGGATGTTTGTCATACTCACAAACTTTTATTTGAATCCACCTGTTGGTATGCTTGTTAGGGGCGCGGGTTCCGAGACGCATTTCTATCTCTGCGTTATTATCGAGGAATCTTGGAAACATTTTTTTTCAACAAATTACTGTCATATGTTACAGGGTGAACCCGGAGAGTATGGTTTGAAAGGGAGTCAAGGCCTGGACGGTTGCAATGGAACTGATGGAAGGCCGGGGTTACCAGGAAGGTTTGGATATCCAGGCTCGAGAGGACCTCCTGGCCCAGAAGGATCGAGAGGGCCCAGAGGAGAACCAGGAGAAGGAGGTGGCAACTCTATCGGGACCAAGGGAGATTGGGGTATTTCAGGGTAAGAAACAGAATTTGAATAATAGTGATATCAACTTAAATGAGAATGTAAATATTTGCCTAATTTGCCGATTTGTTGTTTCGCAGCTACGATGGACCTCCAGGAGGGCCTGGATTACAAGGGCCGCCCGGACCTGTTGGCCCTAGAGGACCTCCGGGATTACCTGTAAGCATTGCTAAAAATGAATGAAACAGTGCATTCTTCAAAATTGCCTTCTCTATATGATACGTACTTTTCTGTATTTTTTTTCTAGGGCTTAGTGGGGGAAGCGGGTCCTTGGGGCCCCCCAGGCGACATGGGCGACGCCATCACAGGAGACAAAGGACAACCTGGAGATACGGGAGATGAAGGTTTGAAAGGCGAAAAAGGAGATGGGTTCTCGAAAGGATGGATCACCGTGATTAGAACAAGGCTACATACGTACAAGGGAGGTCGAGGACAGAAGGGTGAGAAGGGCGAGAGAGGACCGACGGGAAGGAAGGGATATAGAGGAGACAAAGGGTATCCGGTAAGTGACAATGCGCGTAATATTTGTCTGTAATTTTCTATATCGTTCAGATTTCCCTTTTTGTGAAGAGGTAAAATTGTAGCTAGCTTGAACAGATAAGACAAAATCACACCGCTTAAGGAAACACGATCTCTTTTCAGCTTACCCCAATTGACAATTTATAAATTTCCAGGCCATCTTTGTTTCGTATAATAAAAATTAGTATTTCAGACTTCAAACCATTTTTCTATTAGGCATAATGCAATTGTCACAGATAAAATATCTTTGGGTACGTAGTTACCATTTCTTTAACTTTCTGAATTCCATATTAAAAGGGCATCCCGGGTCGCAAAGGTGAGCAAGGCCTTAAGGGCGACCAAGGCGAAGACGGGCCTTACGGCAAACAGGGCCGGCTCGGCCCAGCTGGACCGAGCGGAGAAAAAGGCGACAAGGGCGCTCCGGGGTATGAAGGAATGCCCGGATTCGACGGAACGAAAGGAGAGAGGGGAGAGTCAGGAAACGGGGGCATTCCGGGACTGCAGGGCAAAGAGGGTCCTCCGGGGGTGTATGACCCTTTCTTTGATGAACCGGGGAAGACTGGCAGTATGGGCAGGCAAGGACCCACCGGCTTCCCAGGAGACAGGGGTGAGTATTTACAAGATGATTCAAATAATTCGGCATCCGCATGCACAAAATCAAACAGATGGTCCAAGTTCGTAACAAACTCTTGTCGACGTTGCTCAAACATTTCTTGTGTGCACTTTTTCGCAAATTTCCCCTAACTTGGAATAAGGTAACTAGTTTCTTAGCACAGTTAGGCAGGGATTTAGTTGGCATGCGTGCCTTTTCCCAGTAAATAATGCACTCACGAACAGTAAGGTTAGCGCTCTCATTGACACTTAATTTCAATTCCCGGATATTACAGAACAAAACTGCTACTACTTGTCAATTAAAAGAAATGAATGAATGAATTAAAAAACGAAATTAGAGACATACCGGCCACCATAAGGAGCCAGCGCATACGCCACTCAGACGGGCCCTTGCGCATCTCCACATTTCTTAGACCTCAAGCCTCGCCATTATAGCGAAGTTGAGTATAGCCTTGAGCCCAAGCTCCTTAATGTCCTGGAGGTCCAAAGTGATGGATCCCAGTATAGTCTGCCTGTAGTAGCTAAGAGCCTCGCAGCGACACAGAACGTACGCCGAGGTCTCTTCTTCTACCCCGCAGCGCACACACAAGGGATCCTCAGCCACCCCATAACGTGCAGGTGGCGCCTTAATGGGCAATGAGTTCCCGTACATGACATAGACCTCTGGAGATGCTTCTCCATTTCTGAGAGTGTTGTCTTGCAATCCACTTCTCCGTTTCCTCCTAACTCTTAGCGCGGGCACCCCTAAAGCTGGCTCAGGACCAACGAGCTTGCTGGCTGATACAGACTTCGCCAGAGCGTGCGCCGTCTCATTGCCCTTTATCCCAGCGTGCCCCGGTACCCACACTAACGATACCGGATGTCCCGCTGCTAGACAATCCAGAGCCTCCCTGCATTTCATCACAAGGCTCGAAGTAATCTTACAGGCACTTAGTGCCTTCATTGCAGCCTGGCTGTCGGAGAAGATTGTTATCCTTTTCCTAGGCCCACCCCTCTCCAAAATGAGGGATACACAAGCCAGAATCGCAACGATTTCCCCTTGGAAAATCGTGGTGTATCCGCCAAGAGGCAAAGATAGCCTAGTCCTAGGCCCCGAGACCCCGTCGCCGGAGCCCTCTTCGGTGACCGAGCCGTCCGTGTACCAGACTTGCCCACTCACTCCAGTGAGCCTCCGGTAGCCGGTGTCCCACTCCTCCCTCGTTGGATACTCCACATTAAACATGCGGTTGAAGCGATCCTCCCTTTGCAGTTTGACCAGGATGGTAGTATGACCCTTGACGGGATTCAAGGAGCCGTACAAGAGAGATGGACTATTGTCGTGTGGAGCCAGTGAACCACGTTGGGTTTGAGCCCCCACCTAACACCAACAACGCGTCTACAAGCCCACAATGATATTCGAGCCATGTTAACCTTAAATTCAACCATTAGAAGGAAGTTTTGAACCAGTAATTTCATGCTTCATGTATCCTATTAAAAATATTTTTTTAGAACTGCGTAATTCCTTCGAGATGTTGACTGAACAAAAACAGTACGTTTACTAATAGAACAAACGAGCACCGCAATACGCTAGCTAGCGCGCGCCTCTACACGGGTTGCCCTGGTCCTAGGTACATAAGGTTTTATTAATAATTTATTGTTTTGACATTATTCAAGCAAAATTTGGAAAAAAAGAACTTATATGTTTTGGGACGCCCCAAAATAATTGAGAAATAAATCGTTTCCTAACCAACTTTTCTTTTGTTCAGGTATGGCAGGTATACCTGGACGTCCAGGCCTTTCCGGCCTGATAGGCGAACCGGGCAAACCGGGACCTCCAGGATCGGTGGGATTTCAGGGAAGAAAAGGGATATCACCGAAAGGAGAACGCGGCATAGACGGACTCCCGGGACAGCCAGGACATACTGGCCCGCCCGGCGAACCGGGACCCACTGGCACTTACGGAGAGAAGGGATTTCCTGGTAAGGCTCTTATTCAACACCGTTTAGAAATTCGAGGAGGAAATTATAATTTTAAAGTTTTGGATCGATTATTTCAATATATTTCAGACCAATATTTTACGTCATCATGTTCAAGTATACAGAAATAACTACAAAGGTAATTTAATCTGCCTAGGTGAAACGGTGATAGGCCCCCAGGGATCGCCAGGCATACCCGGCATCCCAGGATACGAGGGACGTCTAGGTGATAGAGGCGATACCGGCGACGCTGGTCCTAAAGGATACCCGGGTAATGGACTGGCGATCATAGGACCCCCAGGAGACCCCGGATCAAGAGGCATGCCCGGTTTGGAAGGAGATGCGGGGATACCGGGATTTTCGGGGTCGCCAGGATTCAAGGGAATGAGAGGAGACGACTGTGGATATTGTCAACCAGGTAAGGGAAGACTGAAATCTACTGTACGACATTTTTTTAACAAAATATCGTGTTTTGTAGGTCTAAAAGGTCCCAAGGGCGAACGCGGAGACGCAGGACGGCACGGTCGACCGGGCACGATCGGGTTCCAGGGGCTGCCGGGTCCCAGGGGTCAACGAGGACCGCCAGGTCTAAAAGGCAAGCTTGGAGACCCAGGTTTAGATGGGCCACCTGGTTTCGATGGAATAGAAGGGCCGCCAGGGGCTAACGGTACCGATGGGTTGATACATTGGCCGCCTAGGTCCAGCACGATACCGGATAGGGGAGATATCGGAGACATGGGATTCATGGGTAAATACTAGAATTTGCAAAGAATTAGGGTATATAATTGACATTATTTGAATGTTTTTAGGTCCGGTGGGCCCAGACGGATCGCCAGGCCCAAAAGGGCTCCCAGGCGATTACGGATTTTCAGGCAACAAAGGCGAAATGGGCGACGTAGGGCTGTCCGGCATCCCGGGTGTAGATGGGATTCCGGGAATTGGGGGAGAATTAGGACAAAAAGGAGACCCAGCTGGCATACCAAAAGAATTCCTCAGGGGCGATCAGGGTCTGAAGGGACCTCCGTAAGTATCGTTGTAACGCCGTTTCCGTAAATTTGAATTTCAAAAGCGATATGTTGCAAAATTCTTTATTTCCGTTATTATGCTAGGTATCAGAATATTTCTTTACAAATTTGATCGACATATTTATGCAGGGTGTTCAAAAATAACGGAATACTTTTTGGATTTATAATAATATAATAATAGTAGGTACTCTTTATTTGCAAATACAAATATTATACAAAAGCTGTAAACCACTTGTGATACAAATATCGTCCAATAGACAAAACTAACAATAAAGTCTTGTCGATAGCAGATGATCAAATCTGCCTTCAAAACGTCTTCGGTTATGCATGGTTCTAGATTTAGTAATATTTTGTATATTATTTATTTAACTGCACTCTTTTTTTACAACTGCACATGATTCAAACCCAAAATAAAAAACAAATTGAATTTTGAAAATTTTCTCTACAGTGGATTGTTCGAAAAAACATAGCTCAAGTATTAGTTTTATTAAGAATTACCCAATTATTAAAAAACCAGGTTTGTACATATAAAGTAAAGCATTGCGGCTGGGTGACAAAATGTACTTATCTTTTAGGGGAGACAAAGGAGAGGATGGGCTTCCAGGTCCCCGAGGATTCCCAGGAGATGTCGTGGACGATTTTACTAAATTATCAGGAGAAGTTGGCCCTAAAGGAGAGATCGGACCACCTGGTAAACTATGGCCCTTTAAACAATCTAGATCCAATTTTCAGTTTGAAATTAAATGTTCCTCACAATATTTTATTATACATCTTATATTCAATGTCCTGTTTTAAGCAACACTGTATTAACGTTTGTCCTCGGTTTCATTTGACAGGACCAAAAGGTTGGGCTGGGCTGAAAGGCTTCAAGGGCGATCTTGGTTGGCCAGGCTTACCTGGTTACCCAGGACCTGCTGGAAGGTCGCTGCCAGGGCCACAAGGCGTCAAGGGATACCCGGGAATTCCGGGAGATCAAGGACCCAGAGGAACAGCGGGAATGCCTGGAATACCAGGAATACAGGTTAGTATCTCGTGTGCTTAGAGTAAATCTCTACCGGTATTTTGGTTAGAGAAGTGGGATATCTAAGACGCTTAGGTTTTTCGCGCCGCTTGGTGCTGTAATCTCGAAAAATTTCGAAATTGTTATATTTTTTTATAGTTTTTGAAAATCGGTCCCGTGAGGGCCGAGAAAAAGCTCAAACACGAAAGAAATAAAAATCGACAAACTTATTATTTAACGTTTGAATATTTGATGACAATTGCAGGGTAGACCGGGAGGTCCGGGTCCAAAAGGAGACAGAGGCGACATGGGTTTAAGCATCCTAGGCGGAGAAATGGGATCTCCGGGACCCGATGGAGAGAAGGGAGACATGGGCGACTGGGGGCCAGACGGCGTTCCCGGCTTTTCTGGCAGACCGGGCCCGAAAGGTTGGTTCGCAAAAAGATACTTGTAGTGCAAGAACACTTGCCAAACTAACCTTACTGTCATTTTAATAGGTGAAAGGGGTGGCAAAGGAGCCCCAGGCTATTCGGGTATGCCAGGCTTGCCTGGTTTGAAGGGCCAGCAGGGCATTACGAGAGTCGGCCCTCCAGGAAGACCGGGGCTACAAGGACGGCCTGGGCTACAGGGTCTATTTGGAGATGAAGGACCAAAAGGCTACGATGGATCTCCGGGACCAAATGGACTTCGTGGGGCCAAAGGAGATGCGGGCTTACCAGGACTTCCCGGGCTTGAAGGTATACTCCAAAAAACAAACCTGTGTTGGAAAAAAATTGATAAGCTGTTTTACAATGAAATCTTAACACTGCTGCAAGTCTAATTGATCACTTTTTTCACTTGCAAATTCATACTTATATCGACTGGACTTTGGTGATGCGCGCTGCTGAGTTATCGGTTGACTATTCCTACTTCTGCCTTCTGTTAGTGTATTTATCTTCGAATCGACGAGTCCAGAGGCGTTCCCGCGACTTCCAGACAGAACTCGAGTGTCCATCGAAACGTGGTGGTGGTGGTCGATGTTTCGCATTGATTGCCTAAACGCCGATGTACGTGGGTGATACTCAGAGTTCTGCATATAAGTACAATCAAGAATATAATTCCGATGTAAAACATCTTATTGCAATTAGTAATAATACCTCAACGTCGAATTCTATTACAAATATTTAAAATATGTATTACCTACCTTCCTGCAGGTGATGAGGGACCAGCGGGATGGCCAGGACACAAAGGCAGAGACGGTATCCCCGGACTCCCAGGACTTCCCGGAGAGAGAGGAAACATGGGCTTGCCAGGCTATCCAGGACCGCCTGGTCCTAAAGGATTCCCGGGAATGAAAGGATTTATCGGACTCAGAGGCGATGCTGGATTTCAAGGGTCTCCTGGTTTTCCAGGAGAGGCTGGTAATGAGGGACCCAGGTGAGATCGATAAACCTGATTATTCTGTCATTCTTACAGATCCTTGAGGGACAGAGAAGATGGAAGAGACAACCGCGTGATAAGTTAATTCAAACAATTTTAAGAAAGTTCATAGGCGATCTGTTGAATTCCTGAGGTTCAAGATAGACAAAATTAATTTTTCTCTACAGTTTCTTCCCTGCTTTCTAACTGGAGCTTTGTCTGTTGAGCAAGTGTATTTTCCATAAATAAATAAATAAGTCATAATTCCGTTTTATCTTCTAGGGGCGACCCAGGCTTCCCAGGCATACCAGGCCCCAAGGGCGACTCATCCTTCAGCGGAGAAAAGGGAGATGAGGGCGAGTCAGGTTTTAATGGACCTCCAGGTTTTGACGGAAGACCGGGGTTGGCGGGCCTTCCAGGACTTCCGGGAGACGCCGGAATAGATATTGTGGGTCTTCCGGGTTACAAAGGCGAGAAGGGACTGCCGGGTCGGCCAGGCGTGAACGGAATACCTGGAAGGAAGGGTGCTAGAGGGGATCAAGGCCCCTTAGGGGCTAAGGGCGAGAGAGGAGACGAAGGAAGGCCGGGGTACCCTGGCGTTAGGGGCAAAGATGGACTACCGGGGTATAAGGTAAGTGCATTTCAAGTCCTTTCTTATAGATTCTTATCGAACGAAATGGTTTTATTTTGATTTCAGGGTGAATCGGGCGACAATGGTGTCACAGGTTTCGAAGGTCCGAAGGGCGAACTGGGCATGGAAGGAGAACCTGGACTAATTGGAAGACCTGGAATGCCCGGTGACATGGGACTACCTGGACTGACAGGCCCATCTGGGTCCAAAGGAATCAAGGGAGATCGAGGTCTGCCAGGATTGGCGCCTTACGGATACGCCGAGAAAGGAGATATCGGAGATGCTGGCATGAGAGGATTACAAGGTAAAACTATTGATTTCGGTTTGATATGTTAACGGTGGAACTATAGATTTGTCAATTGATTTATAGGTATCAAAGGTATCATCGGCGACATAGGGCTGCCAGGCTTCGAAGGTCCTAGAGGAGAACGCGGAGAGCCAGGTTATCCTGGCTTGACGGGTGAGCCGGGATATCCAGGATTGCCAGGCGTGAGAGGAGATGAAGGGCCACCTGGACCCCCGGGACTGCCGGGGCAGAACCCTGAGCCTGGAGAGCCAGGAGTTCCTGGATTCGACGGGTTGCCAGGGTATCCGGGAACACCAGGACAGAAAGGAGCACCAGGTATGACGATCGATACTTATCTTTGGAAAAACTGTGCATCAACAACTCATTTTTTTTTCAGGTGAAACTGGGTTCGATGGGCCACCAGGTCGCCAAGGCATCCCAGGCTTAGGTTTGCCAGGCGTGAAAGGCCCGAAAGGTGACGATGGCTTGCCAGGACTCCGGGGTAGGCAAGGACCCTCGGGGGTAGAGGGAATCAAAGGAAGAACGGGAAGGCCTGGAAGGAAGGGAATGGCTGGAGACTACGGATTCGCAGCCACCAATTTCAAGGGAGAAGTCGGCGATGTCGGATTCCAGTAAGTCATCGATATTTTACAAACAGTATTTACGTCCGCAAAGCCAAGAATAAATGCATATGAATTCGTCTGTTGAAAGATTTCTGCCAACCCTAACAGGAAATTACTGTTTCTTGCTTTTTACCAATCCTCAGTACGGTGTAGGTCCTTTACTTATGACTTTTTTTTATTAGAGGGCCTCCAGGTTACGATGGCCCCAAAGGTGATCGCGGCGACTCAGGATTAAACGGCCTCCCAGGCCAGATGGGTTCAGAAGGACCGAAGGGCGTGGCAGGAGACAGAGGCATCGACGGTATCCCCGGATTTCCTGGAGGGATAGGAGAGAAGGGAGAACCGGGAGATTGGACAAACGATGCATCCAAGGGACAGAAGGGCGACGTGGGATTCCCGGGCATCGATGGACCATCAGGACCTAGAGGAAAAGATGGCCTGCCAGGGTTACCGGTAAGAATTTGTTCATGTGATGGAATTCCACCTATCGATCCATAGTTGTTGTGAATGTTTTCAAATATGTAATTCCAGGGATATCCAGGTGAAAAGGGCATAAGAGGTGACAGAGGTGTGTCAGGTTTGCCAGGCTTCAATGGGCCGAAGGGAGAGGTCGGAGAGCCTGGATACAGAGGGTTGCCTGGTCTAAAAGGTCGAAGAGGACCCAAAGGCATCGAAGGAGACGCTGCCCCTGCACCTCCAGGTCCTAAGAGCAGAGGATTTTTCTTCACCGTACACTCACAATCCGTTGAAATACCGCAATGTCCTAAGGATACTGTCAAACTGTGGGACGGATATTCCTTGCTGCATATTTTGGGCAACGAAAAGTCCCACGGGCAAGATCTAGGTATGTGAACTAGTTTGGTTCGGTTGTATTAATATATGAAGTGCTTACTGTAAGCATGTGTTTTTTCATAGGTACGCCTGGCAGTTGTCTCAGGAAATTCAACACCATGCCATATGTGTTCTGCGATATGAACGATGTTTGCAACTACGCTCAGAATAACGATTACAGTTACTGGTTATCGACGACCGAACCGATTCCAATGATGATGACGCCGATATACGCAAACGAAATACAAAAATATATCTCCAGGTAAGCTCGTCGTTTCTGGTTCTTGGTTAGAAACTTGAGAAGTGTATAATACTCGTAAATAGCTTCTCGACGTCTTGTCGGGATCGGAAGTCCTTTTGATGATTAGTATTTTTTTATTATTTAAGGTGTACAGTATGCGAGGCCCCCACGAGGGTGATAGCGATGCACAGTCAAACACTCGATATACCCCCATGTCCCACAGGTTGGGAAGAACTTTGGATCGGATACAGTTTCCTTATGGTAAGACGAAACATGTTTTTTTTTTCTGTGGAAATGGTCGAATTTTTTTTTCCTTTATAACGACATATACCGCTTTTTTCCGTACGTTTTTCTTTATGACGACACAGACCGCCTTATTTCCAGCACACCGACGCGGGTGCGGAAGGTGCCGGTCAATCGTTGGTATCTCCAGGCTCGTGTCTCCGAGAATTCAGGCCGAAACCGTTCATCGAATGCCACGGCCACGGCAGATGCAATTACTACACGACGGCGGTTTCTTATTGGCTGGCTGCCATCGAAGACACGTTCATGTTCAGGAAACCTAGACCAGAGACGCTCAAGGCTGGATCTTTGACTCAGAGAGTGGGCAGGTGCTCTGTGTGCATTAGACAAAGGTGAACATCTCATTTGTTAACTGTTTTGTTGCGATGCCTTCTTAAAAAATGGCTAAATCTGTATTTCATCAAGGGTTGATAGAGTATAACAAATTAAGCACAAAGGTAAAAGACCAAAATACTGAAATTGAAGAATGACTTGTTAAATCTACAATTATAGCTTGCCCAACATGTGCATCGTATGGCTTGAATTTACTAATTTCACGTTGTTTATAATTATTAAATAAATCTTTTTACTACTACTTCTTTCTAATATTACATTTCGTTAGATACACGATCCAGAGAAGCAGACCTCCTCCACCTCCGCCTCAAAGAGTGATCCATCCCAGTCAAGGCTCCAGTAACCAGCCTCAATCACCGTCTTACGGAGGTCAGTCGTACGGAGGTCAAAGGATCTCTCAACAGTCCTTCGCAGGTCAAGGTTCCGGTAGCCAGTCGTTTGCGGGCGGTCAAAGGGTATCGGAACGCACTTACGCAGGAGGTGCGAGAGTAGGAGATTATGGTGGTCACAGAAGCGCGGAGACCTCGTACGGGGGATCGTATGGAGGTCAAAGAGGTCCGCAGCCTCCCTCGTATATACCATCAAGCGCTGCGGAAAGTGCTAGAAATGCGGAGCTTCTACGAAGGCAGAGGTAAGCTTTGTTGAATTCTACTGTTACTAGTCACACAAAAAAATTAACCTTACAAGTGTGTAATAAGGATACATTTTTTATTTTGTCAACAACTTGTTTGTTTGTTTGTTTAAGATTTATTTGGCGTGATTGCTACAATTAGATTCTTTCAAACAACTACAACAATTACATAACATACAGATTTTCAGAAATTAAAACAAAATTTGCATCTCTAAGAATTTTCATTGTCCATGAAATATTCCTTTAATTTTCTTTTAAATATCTTTAAATTACAAGTAGACTTTATATCATTATTTAATTTATTAAACTTAAGTAATCCTTTCTGAAATATTGATTTGCTAGTTATATTACTATTGCAATTTTGTAAATGGAAATCTATATTTCCTCTTGTATAATAATTGTGGTAATGATTCATAGATTCAATTCTATGTAGTGAAAAGATGATTTTTTATTTTAAATATAAAAATAAGAACCAACTATGATGTGAAATTTTTTATATTCAACCACTGCAATTCGTGTAACATAGATTTTATTTTGGTGTACTTATTTTTGTTCAATAATTCTCATAGCTTTATTTTGCAAGACTTGTAATTTTGAGAATACTGCTTCATTGGAAGTGAACAAGATAGTTGAACAATATAGTAAATGCGGTAGAATAATTTTATTATAAACTATTTTCTTGGAATAGGTACCACGACTATGAGAAGCCCTATAAAAGTAATTTTTTTTTTGTAAATTTTTGAAATAATGTATTCATCAATATTTAATTGATTCAACATCTTCAATTGTTTCTCCATTTATCCTAACTGTGATAATATTTTAGGTATTTCCCTATTAGCATATATTTTGTTTTAGAAGTATACAATTTTAGTTTATTTACACTTAACCAATTTACGATTTTTGCCATGTCAGAATTTAGCTTTTTGAAGCAGTGTCTATATTTTCATCTGATATGTATCATCTGCGAATATCTGAAGTTTACAATAATCTAAAATATTACAAATGTCATTAATGTATGTAGTGGACCTATTTTACTACCTTGTGGTATACCAACAGAAATATTTTTTGATCTAGATAATGTAGATCCAATTTTGGTTTTTTGACTTCTGTCAATTAAATAGTTTTGTAGAATTTTGAATACAGATCCTTTAAATCCGTAGTGATGCAATTTTGTAAGTAATTTATCCCTGCCAATAGTCTCAAACGCCCTTTTGAAGTCCCAAAAAAAACACTGTTACTGTATGTTTCCGATTTTCCATACTTCCATAATTCCAGCTTGAAATTTGGTTAAAATGTTATTACCCTGAATAAATTCGATGATCCGTTCGTGAATAATTTCTTCAAAAACTTTTTCAACATCTGCCAGAACACTTATTGACCACATATTGGTGTACAACTCAGAATTCTTAACTTTCGAAACAGGAGTTATGGTAGAACACTTCAGTTTTGTTGCAAATTCGCCATATTTTAAACAGTAATTTATCAGGATTAATATTCTTGCTCCAATAATATCAAAACGTTCATTAAGCACACTTTTCGACAAAATCTCACTCTTATTTTGATTTGATTTAATCTTTGATATAATCTTCTTGGGACGACTAATGTTAACTTTTCTAAACTGACTGAATTATAATCTGTACCCAATCGACGTGTTTCATTTTAGATAATGTATTTTTTTCAATAGGAGAAACAACGTTTTTCAACGTTTTCCACATATACAGGGTGTCCCAGAAGTCGACGTCAAGCCGAAACCGGCTGATAGGCAAAGTCATAACAGCTATCAGAAAAATATTTAAAAAATGTTATGTATGTGTTTTGAAAATTATAGGTCTTTGAAAAAGATATAGAAATTTCACACCGTACGGCAGTCTGTCAACTCCTGTTACTACAAATATTAACTTTTTTTGGATTTTATTTTTACAACGTAATGATGAATAATGCATCTTCAAACTGGTGTCTCAACCTTACTGCCAACTTATCTCGTTCAGGAAAAATTGCCACTTATTTCCCAACCAAGTATTCCAAAGTAAAACTTTGCTCAACTTTAAGTGGCTGTACTGGGAAAAAATGTACTACGAGATTTTGGCAAGTAACCTTAAAAGTTGGCGCATTTAATAACGATTCCAAAATGGTATAACACTTAGAAGATTACTCGTTAACCTATGCACAATTTTTATTTGAAAAAAGGACCCTTAAGGATAACTGTTTGCACAACAGTGGGCGTCAAAATGCTGCTGATGATGATTTACCTTTACAGCAAATGCTCAAACTGTTTTCCTTCAGCCGCAATACACGCTCGACATCTTCTTAAAAAAGATCGGGTTATTAAACGAGCCAATTCCGCGGTTATTAACAAACTCAGCTGCTTCCAATAGTCTTTGCCGTAGCTTCTACATAACTTACACGAGTGGCACGTAGCAAACCCACATTTGATGAGAGAAGATAAGTCTCAATATCGCTTCAAGATAAACCATTGGACAGGAATTTTAAATGGTAAAATAATCGGTCCGTTTGAGTTCCCAGAGACTTTGACTGCTGAGGTTTATTTAGGTTTTTTGCAAAATCATTTAGAAAATTTATTGGAGGACGTGCCACTGAGTATTTACAGGGACATGTTGTTCCAGCATGATGGCTGCCCAGCGCACTATGCACTCTCAATGAGAGAGTATCTCGATCAAAACTTTCCAGGCAGATGGATAGGGCGGTCTGGTACAATACCGTGGCCAGCCCGGTCACCAGATTTGAATCCGTTAGATTTTTTTTACTGGGAAACTATAAAAGAAAAAGTGTATTTCAAGCTGATTCAAAATGTAACTGAGCTACGGCAAAGACTATTGGAAGCAGCTGAGTTTGTTAATAACCGTGGATTCGCTTGTTTAATAACCCGATCTTTTTTAAGATGTCGATCGTGTATTGCGGCTGAAGGAAAACAGTTTGAGCATTTGCTGTAAAGGTAAATCATCATCAGCAGCATTTTGACGCCCACTGTTGTGCAAACAGTTATCCTTAAGGGTCCTTGTGCGTTTTCATAATCGCTGTTTAATTAGGAAATTTTGAAAAATTTTCATCAGTTTTTCTTCAAATAAAAATTGTGTATAAGTTAACGAGTAATCTTCTAAGTGTTATACCATTTGGAATCCTTATTAAATGCGCCAACTTTTAAGGTTACTTACCAAACTCTCGTAGTACATTTTTTTCCAGTACAGCCAGTTAAAGTTGACCAAAGTTTTACTTTGGAATACTTGGTTGGGAAATAAGTGGCAATTTTTCCTGAACGAGAAAAGTTGGCAGTAACGTTGAGACAACAGTTTGAAGATGCATTATTCATCATTACATTGTAAAAATAAAATCCAAAAAAAGTTAATATTTGTAGTAACAGGAGTTGACAGACTGCCGTAGGGTGTGAAATTTCTATATTTTTTTCAAAGACCTATAAGTTTCAAAACACATACATAAAATTTTTTAAATATTTTTCTGATAGCTGTTATGACTTTGCCTATCACCCGGTATCGGCTTGACGTCGACTTCTGGGACACCCTGTATGTTTGATATTATTTTTGGCATTGTAATATTTTTTCTTTTCATCTCGTAGAATTCCAGTCTCTTTTTAATACTTCTCGTCTGATTATTTCATGATGTTCATAGAGATGAAAAACCACTTTTATGGAAGAATACAACGGTTGATTAATAATTGAGAATTTGCTGCACAAAGGGGTTTCAAGAAAATCGGAGATCATACGAAGAGACAAAGTGAAATATTCACATACAATTTCAGAGCTGTGTACTAATATTTGTAAACAAGTTACCATTGAAGAAAAAATAAATATAAATGCTTTTATTGACAAAAAAATTGATAGAATCGTTTTTTAGTATATATTTATTCACATGAAATGATCAGATGAACAGGATTTAGAAACAGGTAGTTGAATAAATGCGAAAAAGAATGATGTGCGACCTTTGATTTATATTCGCTATTTCGCACAAGTATTCGGCATTCAAGTAACATCTGAATACAAGCAAAAACATACCTTAAGTTTGATATTGGATTTTTTTGAAACAGCTCTTTTTTCTGTATATAACAAGTTCACTGTTTCTAGGTTGAGAGAAGGAAGAAGACGGAGGCCACAACATCGCTTCATGGACAGGGAGGAATCGTAAATTTCTAGGAAAGATTAAAACTGTGCCATAGTCTTTAATATACTTAATTTTATCCAGGAATTTTTGTTATCAACAAACTGTACTATTCCCCAAACAGTTGTTGAAAGAATCTCACTTTAATCTGCAAAGCTTTTGTTTAAAAAATTCAACATTTCAGTAGTAATGCTTCCAAACTTACTTGATTCCTGGATTAAATATTGTACAAATGTCTGTGTATAAAGTATAATTGTGCTAAGATTTTATAATATAGATATTTAAGAATGAATGTTCGATTTCGGCGAGCCTGAGGCTAAGACTTGTTCATCGGGTCTTATAACCTCTGATATAAGATTTAAGCTTGAAGCCCTATTAGATCATTTTTCTTTCATTATGAATTTTTAATTTCCATAGCTACATCTGAATTGTCAGAAAAATTTCCAACTAAATTACATCCATTTCACCGCACTTTTAATCTCTAAGCAAATAACATTGCTTTCATTTGTTTAATGTCCTGTATATCTTAAATTGTCGAAAATAACGTATCGGAAAAATCTTGTTAGTGTATTTTGAGTATTTATGGATTTATTTTTATAAAAAATAAAATTGATATTTATATTGATTGCATTTTCGTATGTTGAATATAATCTAAATTTTGCAGTTTTTGAGAAACTGGTCGTTCATTAAAATTATGTTAAAATGTGATCAAAAATACTATATTACACCCACTGCCATATGCTACAACTTTCTTGTAAAAATTAATTTAGTTTTCTAAATAAAGGATTTTATAAAAATTACTACCGTCATTTATGCTTATTTGACCTATCGTCAAACAGGAACCTTTTGCTTATTTTCAACGGGGCACCGCATGTATCAGAACTTGCCCCCCTTCTATTTTCTCAGTTGATGAGCACTTTGAGACTATGACACCACCCGGATAGTTAATAAATTAGTTTGTAATAATAAAATAATGTGTTCAATAAAAGGTAGGGTACGGAATAATGTTATTATTATTACTTACGCTACCGTTCATATTTAACAATCCAGTCTAGTGAAAGTAAAATATGTCACGGAAGACAGCCTACAACATTTGACACTAATGTGAAACGTGCTACGTAACAACGCGCACTGTTAAACATGAATGACGCGAAAATTTCGTGAAGAGCGACTTTAAAGCTATTTTGAGTTTGAAATTTCATAGTTCTCCTACTAAATTTCTATGATTTCTTTTATACAGGGTGACTTCGAAGTTGAGTCATTTATTTTAACAGTGAGTAGATCTAATCAAAAGAAATGTTTTTTTCCTTTACCATTTTTCTGGTAAAATTAAAGTAACAAAGTTATAGCCCTTTGGAAGTTTGAGTACCGCCCTGTCTCAATAATAATATTATGTGCTCGTGTTTGGCGACAACGGATATAATCCGCCTTATCGGTTCATCGCATCGGAAACAAAAAAGCGAAAGAATTTGGAACGATGTTTTTACAATTATTTGTACGAGTATACAGTCAGTGTCAGTCGGTAACGCGTGAGTGAATAGTGATGTCTGTTGCGTGGCTCAAACGAAATCAAAAATGGCACATGTTTACGAAAATGCTGAACTTGTGGACATGATTTTTATTTACGCGGCATCACGGATTTATGCGGATCGGTTTCCCAATCGAGTGCAACCAACCCCTCGTGCCTTTGTTAATGTAGTACAAAGGGCTCGTGAATCAGGCGACTTAAGACCTCACAGGGGACGGCATGCCGGTGCTTCAAGACCGCACGATCAAATACAGGTCCGCACTGAAATACTTGTCGGGAGGATACTTTAAAAACAAGGTAACATTTTTTTTTATGTTTTTTTTATTTTTACACACATATTTTGGTATAGTCAAATATCGCCGTGTATAAATATGTATATTACGTATGTATAAACATAAAATATACATTCACCAGTTCTTCGAGATCGTATCGTACAACTAGTAGGTACATAATATTTTGTATAGACTTAAAGATACGCTACCACTAAACCGCCCTATCTCTACATTTATCCTGCACCGCATCTTCGCGACAATTTTTGTCTTCGCACCGGCGAATCTTCTTGTATTCGACCAGTCGAAAAGCGCGAATCAGTTGCGAAATCTCACGGAAAAAGTAACCGATGCCTTCCGCGATCGGGCTCAACAAATCGCGGCAGGATGTGGCGACGTTGTACATGAAGATCATAGGAGGCTGGACGAATGCGTTAAACAGTGTCGCCAAGAAAGGCTTGAAGAAATAGTCGGACAGAAGCTGGATGAGGCCTACAGATAGAGGGCGGATTATGCTGTACAGGAGGAACCTGAAAAATAAAGCAAACAGTTTTTATATTCCACTAGGTAGCGATATGGCATTTACCTTAGCAGTTGCAAGATGAAAGACGTCACAAACGATATTCCTATGTGCACCGTTCCAAACATTTCTGCCCAGAATTTCGTCGTGTACGCTTCAGTTTTTTCGGCTAATATCTCAGTAGTTATGATCGGAGGATTGTCTGTCGTACGTAAGAAACTGGAACGAAAACAAAGTTACAGAATGCCTTTTCGATGACGATAACAATAGTACATTTGCCTTTTGTTTGAAACTACGTCCTCTGGATCTGTGATATCTAAGGAATAATGCAAAGTTCGGAAGGATCAAAAAACACCAATCCTTGCTACATTAAAAGAAAATATTACCTGGAGTCTCCATGGTCAAAATAATATACATCCATTCTAGTAGCAAGGTTGTCGTGTTCAGATGTGCAAATAAACTTTTCGTTCATCATCCTTCCAGGATCTTTATCTTTTCCATCATCACAACGCAAGTCCGCATTCCTGAAAGACTTTCGTTCTGATATCATCGCTGCATTACACCTGTAATATATTAATAACCGTTCGAAACTATTTTTTTAATGGCTGATAAAGGCAAATTTCAACGGGAAAAATTACAATTGAAATTGGTCGTACCGATGTCTAAAAGAAAAACGCTCAAGATTTCTTCCTACCTATTTTTGTGTTCCTTCATTTGAGTCAGTGAATGTGGCGTGTCAAAATTATCACAGCAGTCTGGAGAATATCTTGGACGTCTGGTACTACATTTTGGACTACGGTCTGCTAATTCAAACACCAGTCTCTGGAATAGTTTGTTTTACTGTGATATTTTCATGAAAAAATTACTAATTCACCTACTACCCGACTTCGACTACTTTTATAGACAAAATTACTGCCTATATGAAAAACTGGTCGTTACGACCACTCTTCTTAGCTCGCTTTTCAATGCACTACAGTATATTCAGATAAGAGATAGACCGGATGTAAACAAAAGGTTCGGGTGATTTTCACGCTAACGCCGCCGTCTCGACGTAAAACAGGAGCCCTCATTGGTCAATTCGCAATTAAATGCCTATGCCGAGCGGCAGAGCAGTCGTATCAAGGCAGAGTCACATTCAGGTTCAGACGTGTTACGTATGTCGTGTGCATCATTGCAATTTGATATTTCTTTGGACGTTTTCGTTTGTTATCTTATTAAGTTGTTGAGTTTGTCGTTGTTATTGTTATACCTTGTTATTGATTGTTATTGTTATCAACTGCTTGCGCAAAATGCCCAGTAGTACAGATACTGCCGATGAAGTTGTAAACTCCTGTAGTCCACCTAGGAAACGCTCTAAAAAAAGACACCTGAGTGCAGAAATGAAAGAGGTCATTTTGAATATATATAAGATCGAGCGCGAGGAGAACGAGGCATCAACCATCAAAGAAATTGTTGTGAAGGTTTCTCACAAAGTTGGGGTGTGTCGCGCATCAGTGTTTAATGTGTTAAGACAATACAAAAAAAATCACACCTTTTCTGAGCCAATGACCAGTAAACATCGCAAGAGTATTGTTAAATCATTGGATGAAGCTGATAAGCATGCGATTAGGAGGAAAGTGCATGAATTCTTCTTTAGGTATGAAATACCTACTATAGATAAAGTACTGCAGGAGGTAAATGGAGATACAACGTTGCCAAATTTCAAACGATCAACTTTCCATGCGTTACTGAAGCATTTAAATTTCAAATGGAAAAAACGGGGTCGTAATAGTTTACTACTGGATAGAGAAGAAATTGTGCTATGGAGAAGCGATTATTTAACAAAAATTGGGAAATATAGAAATCAAAACAGGAAGATTTATTACCTTGATGAAACGTGGGTAAACGCAGGACACACTACAAGTAAAGTATGGTTGATGATTCTGTAACTTCATCCAGGAGGGCCTTTCTGGATGGACTGTCCACCGGATTAAAAAATCCCGCAGGTAAATACGAGTAATAGACAACAATCGGATGTTTTTCAAACCTTGGGAACAAGGTTCTAAACATTAATTCCAGGGGGCAGATAAAACATATTATAAGTAACAAAACTTTTATAACTTTCGATAAAATGCGTGGATTTTTGTTGTCATTTTCATTTGTTAGAACTTTTTTAAGCCATGTTTTTATGTGTTTTCGATATTTCAATAATTTTTTAATATAATCTTAAAATATGTCGAATATTATAAACTTAAAAAAGTTACTAAGTTTTATATTGTGTACCGTTCCTAATATTTCTAATCATTTTAATTCATACTTTAAGCTTTATAAAGTTATAATTTGTTAATATTAATATTTGCGCGTATTTCAGGTTCCTGATCATTCATTTTTTAAAGGTTTATAACTTTAAATTAAATTGTGAAGCGCCGAGTAATCATACGACGTTCAATATTCTTTCTTTCAATATGACTAAATAATCCCAATTATAGCAATCTGATACTCATGTCTCAATGTTTTTTCGCTGAATGTGATGAAAACATTTGAAAAAGGTTCGCTTATTGAAATAAATCTACACCAGTTAGTACTTCGATTTCCAGGTAAAGGGAAAAGGCTCATTATCTGCCATATTGGCAGTGAGGATGGATTTGTTGTTGACGGTCTGTGGTGCTTTGAGTCTAAGAAAACTGGAGATTACCACGAGGAAATGAATGGCGAATCGTTTGAACAGTGGTTTTCAAAAATTTTACCGAACTTAGAGGAAAACGTAGTAATTGTGTTGGATAATGCGCCTTATCATTCTCGAAGAATGGAGAAGGTCCCAACAACGGCTTCAAGGAAAGTTGATGTTCAAAATTGGCTCCGCTCGAAAAATATCAACTTTGAAGAAGCAATGCTGAAAGTACAATTATTAAGAATTGTCAAGGATCACAAGGCGGAATATCAAAAATACGCCATTGACGAAATGGCAGCACGTCAAAATAAAACTGTGCTCCGTTTACCTCCATACCATTGCGAGCTCAATCCCATTGAGCTCATATGGGCAGAGGTTAAAAATTATATAGCTAAGCACAATACAACTTTTAAATTTTGTGACCTCAAAGGACTTTTCAAAGAAGCACTAGAATTAATAACAGCGCAAAAATGGGAAAACTGTATTAAGCACGTGAAAGACAAAGTTGAAAAGAGAATGTGGATACTGGACAATATTTTAGAGGAACAAGTCGAGCCATTCATTATTGACGTTGGTGCTTCAGGCAGTAGCGATGATGAAAGCTCATCAAGCTCATCTTTCCAATAAAAGATGTCGTTCATCAAATTCGGTAAGTTATAAGTAATTATAAAGCTACTGTATTTTTTAATTAATTATTGACATTTTTGAACCCATTTTGGCAAAACCTATTCAAGAATCTACTTTCTGACAATGTTCAACCATGCACATTTTTTTACGTTTTGAACGTTTTAATTTGGTTACATATTTACCTAGAAATCAAAAAATATACTAATCAATATTCTAAAAGCAATTTTAAGAGATATACGATTATTTTTAATTTAGGCTAATTTAAACGTCATTTTGAGATTATATTCGACTGTATTTCACCAAACATTAGGCGGCATCCGAGGCTGGAAATCGAAGCGAAAATTTTGAAACCCTTATGTATATTTACATCATTATATATTTCTTACCCCACCCCACATGATCCTATATCCATCACCAATCGTATACACATCAAATCGTGCTAATTTACTACAAAGTTACGCAAAGCAGCATCTACTATCTAAAATATGTACTGCGTGACTCTTAATACGTCCCTGCCGAATGTTACAGCGTTCGATGATCACGTGGTCTTGTTTATGTCCGGTCTATCTCTTATCTGAATATACTGTAGATAACAGAAACAAAAATGGAAAATATTCCTTTACTTTTGGCTTATGGGTTATTTTGGAATGTTTCACATTCATGGTGTAATATTGGACCTTCTTGTTATTTTGCTGGCCGTTTCTGAGATATTTGAAGATACTCTGAAACATGCTACCCTTTCTTGGAGAAGACTTCTTGCCATATTTGGATTTACTTTTGCCTGAAAAAAGATCTCGTTGAAAAATTAAAGAATTAAGGAAATATAAAGATATTTGATTAATGTTATATGTTCTTATTATATTCAACAATCAGTTACTGCTCACTTATGACAAATTAAATCACGTAGGGTTTTTTGCAAAGATCATGATGGAAATAGAAAAGTGAAACCACTTTAAAGCGCATAGAAGGATTTAGATCTTGGAGATAGGTGACTTTCATCTTTGTTCATATTTTTGATATTTTGACTCGGAAGAAGTATAAAAGTATGTTATTTATTTTGTTCAAGATATAGTATCCAGTAGCCTGTCTTGGTATGGGACCCGTAAATAAAAATTGAAGAAAATTTCAAATAATGTTCCAGTACCATCTTCTGTTGTTAAATTTTTACCAAAGGCAAAGTAGAGTCTCGTATTTCGTTGTGACCTAGGGCCTCTTCAGTAGCAGAAGCCTCGTATATGCCCAGAAACAAATACAAAGCTAGTTGGATAATTTCTGGGACGAATAAGAAATGTCCGTCCTCTGTAAAAGGCAATACTAGTAGTAGTAGCTGAAAATGCAAATCTCGAGAGTCTTAAAACTATGTATATCATGCCTTTATCGCCTCCATCTTCCATTTGCGCTTTTCTACCCTGGTACGGTTCATAGTAGTCCATCTTCTGCACTCGCTGTTGCAAGTAACTGATCATCTGTGGACACATGCACTCCGAATTGAACTGTACGTTGGCGGGCAGAAATGGCGGTGGACAGATGAATTCAGGGGTTGACTCAGGGGCCAGCGGGCTCGACACCTTGGTCACTTCCATCGAGGCGCTCATCTCAGGAGCCGTTGTTGCGTCTTCTGTGTGCTCGCAAGTGCAACCGGTGTCCGAGCAGGTGCAGTCTTTTTTGCACGGATCCGATTTTTCGTTCTGAAAATAGTTATCTATTTGTACAAACGGACGAATTTTTAGACCTCACTTATTTTTCAGGTGAAATGTCGCTTACCGTAATTCCTGAATATGTCAACTCATTGGTGCCTTCGGTGTCGGCCGTATTACTGAAACTACCGTAAGGAAGCTTCGGTGTTGCGGGCCCCATGAGCTCAATAACAGTTTGCACCTCATGTTTGATCTTTGCGATATTTTCGCTGCACGAACACGTATCAGGGTCATTTGTGTCTACTACGTTCACGCCTTTATTTTTCTGTCGATTTTCCTTTTCATCTCTCGGTTTCATCCGTATAAAAGTTCAAAAATGTATAACAGCAGATATATGGTTGTCAAATATGTGTCAGTATAAAGACGCAAGGCAAGTAGAAGAAAGTGTACGATCATGGAAATTGAATAATGCTTCGTACACAGCGATAGCGATTAAATAATTCTGCTGTTCTATTAGCGCACTGATTATTTCCGAAAAATATTTCGATAATTTCAGCTCTTTTTGCTGTAGAATATTCCATGGTTAATTTATGTAATAAAGCGTTACAAGTTATTTTGGCAACAAAGTTTAGTCAAATCAATCGCAAACTATGTACTAAATTCCTATTTAAAATAAGTTCGAGATATTTCCTTATCTTTCTTCAAGAAATATCTTTTTGCAACAAGAAACGCTCCAATAGCTATTTTCAACAACAAAATGATAAACAAACCATGAGCGTAGTGAAGAAAAGCATTCACTTAATAAGTAAATTCTTTTAGTCAAGCTTTAAATCAATAAATCTTCAAAACTACTGAACTGAAGCTCATGTATTTTACATCATTATTAAGGGAATTGAAATACCTTTAAAATAAGGTGTCACTCGACCCCCCTTTCCATTTACGATTTTAGGGTTGGTGTCACCCCCGCCCAGGGGGCTGCACGTGTTAACGTGATTTTTCGAAAATCGACGGGTTTTTTCCAAAAAAAAAAAACTGAGCTGCCAGTAAATGCATCTGTTTCAATACTATAGATACTAACTATACAGGGTGACTTTGAAGTTGAGTCATTAATTTTCAGATAATGATTGTAGAAGGAAGATAAACCAAAATATGTGTGTAAAAGTAAAAAAAAAATTTACCTTGTTTTATAAAGTATCCTCCCGACAAGTATTTCAGTGCGGACCTGTATTTGATCGTGCGGTCTTGGAGCACCGGCATGCCTGTGAGGTCTTAAGTCACCTGATTCACGAGCCCTTTGTACTAAATTAACAAAGGCACGAGGGGTTGGTTGCACTCGATTGGTAAACCGATCCGCATAAATCCTTTTATTTTACTTGCTATTCCCCTAACAAGCAATTCTCGGTAAAGCTTTTCTTTTATTTTAATTGATAGTCCCCCGTGATGCCGCATGTCCACAAGTTAAGCATTTTCGTAAACATGTGCCATTTTTTATTTCGTTTGAGCCACGCAACAGACACCACTATTCAATCACGCGTTACCGACTGACACTGACTGTATATAACTGAATAAAATAATTGTAAAAACATCGTTCCAAATTCTTTCGCTTTTTTGTTTCCGATGCGATGAACCGATAAGGCGGATTATATCCGTTGTCGCCAAACACGAGCACATAATATTATTATTGAGACAGGGCGGTACTCAAACTTCCAAAGGGCTATAACTTTGTTACTTTAATTTTACCAGAAAAATGGTAAAGGAAAAAAACATTTCTTTTGATCAGATCTACTCACTGTTAAAATAAATGACTCAACTTCGAAGTCACCCTGTATACATATTTACAGATGTTCTGTCAGCTTGACACGTTGTCAAACAATTAAACTTTAAAAAAAAGTCAGGATAATCTTGAAACATGGATAAAAATAAACATAAAAAGACGGATATTGAAAAAGAAGCAAGTATGCTTATGAGACGTTGCAAAGCTAACGAAAAGCACAGAATCAAAGCACCGACATTGGAAGAAATTATCGCGACACAACTCACTGATGAATTGATGGATCAATTTAACATAAACAAGCAAAAACGGGAAAAACTGAAGGAATTTCAAGTAATTTCATATTTATCGCATCTTCAAATCGGTATATTCTAAAACCTGCATTTCTTTTTCCAGTCAGAATTTACCAAGAAGACTAAACTGAAAGAGTTCAAAACCCGACTAGTTCCTCTATACCCCGAAGTCCCTACGAAGAACGATTGTCACAAGAAGATAAGATACTATTCGGAGCTTTGTCCGTATTCAGATATGACAGCTATACTTGAATCGGCTTTGAGAAACAGAGTCAGAGCCAGAGGTTTGGAACTTAAGTATCCTAGCATCATAGATAACATCGTGGCCAGCGCCAAAGAGGAGTTTTTTGAAGTTACGCATAACGCGGGGGTAAGAGCGTAATACAGAATGGGGCATCCGCGAACCTTTCGTGCTCAATTAAATACTATGTATATTCAGGTGAACTTGAAGACGAAACCGATGAACATCGAGGAATATAACAGAACGAAAATAGAACCGTACAAATACCTGGGCAGATCGGATCGATACCAAGTCTACTTGTGGACCAAGAACGAATTTCAATTGCGATTCATGCTACATTTGCCTTTGGTCCAAAGGATTTTCAAGGATTGTATTACCGTGCTACCTCAGACTTTATTTAATATCAGTACATTGAGGAGCAAACCGTACGATATTAAAGACCTGGACGATATTTTTAACCGGTATATAAGCGATGCGGAGGTTATTTTGAAGAGATTCTACTACAAAATTGTTGAAATGGTTTGTAACAAGACATCAAAATGAAAAAAATTATACTGCGCATAACCAAAAATAATAATTAAACTTGTAATAAGGACCACCACCTTCCTATTTTCACTGTAATGTCAGATTATAGCCAAAAAAATAATAGTTTCGTTCGCGGATCCGATTCGGGATTGATTCTGAACCACTTCGCATGCGCACTTCAAAAATCGGCGTTCGTGGTAAGAAACACCTGGAAGCTGTCAATAGTGTCAATCGAATAGCAGCTTGGCAACAGCACAAAATAGAGGGCAAATTGGCAACAGTGTTGAATACGCAAACGGTTCCAAAGTCGTTCGCGGTAAACGAAAATCACGAACTAGAAAATAACTGGACATGCGCATTTGTGTAATTCTGGATGGTTCAGTTTTAGTTCCGAACCGGTTCATTTTTTGAGCCGCGAACGCAACTATTTCAATTTCGAAATTTTTCACGATTACAATACAGCGCAGGAAATAAAAATTAATATGAATTTCAGGTAGAGGTGGACGACACAAAATTAGAGCCGTACCTATACAAAAGAATGTTGAAAGTGTGTACTGGTATTTTGGCGAAATACTTCAGCATAGCGATCATGAACACGATGGAGCACATCCGTGACGTCACTGGCAATGATAACTTGATCCCTTATATAAAATTATCGCTGAAGTACAGCGAAACATTGGTTCTGTTTCCTAATGATAATGACGTCATACTCATCTACTCTATGTTTGTGTCAAAACTAGTGGACATTGGAAGAACATTTCTCGTTTTGGAGACGGTCAGTTGGAAAAATTGAAAATACGAAAATTAGAAAATTCCAAAATTTGAAAATTCGAAAATTCGAAAATTCAGAAATTCGAAAGTCGAAAGCGAAAAGTCGTGAAGTCGTATAGCTGAAAAACCGTAAACGGTCGCAAGCTATCGTCAGCTATCGCAAACTATCATAAATTATCGTAAACTGACGTAAACTGGCGTAATCTATCGTAAACGATCTTAAACTGTCTTAAACAGTCGTGAACTACCGCAAATGGTCCTAAACGGTCATAAGCTATCGTAAACTATAGTAAACTGTCGTAGACTGTCGTAATCTAAAGTATCTTAAATTATTGTAGACTATGGTAAACAATCGTAAACTGTCGTAAACTACCGTAAACTGTCTTAAACAGTCGTAAACTATTGTAAATAATCGTAAACGGTCGTCAACGGTCGTAGTCGCTCGCAATCGGTCTTAAACTATCGTAAGCTGTCGTAAACAGTCGAAAAAGTCGGAAAATTCGAAAATTTGCAAATTCGAAAATTAGAAAATTAGAAAATTCGAAAGTCGAAAGTCGAAAAGTCGTGAAGTCGTATAGCTGAAAAACCGTAAACGGTCGCAAGCTATCGTCAGCTATCGCAAACTATCATAAATTATCGTAAACTGACGTAAACTGGCGTAATCTAGCGTAAACGATCTTGAACTGTCTTAAACAGTCGTGAACTATCGTAAATGGTCCTAAACGGTCATAAGCTATCGTAAACTATAGTAAACTGTCGTAGACTGTCGTAAGCTAAACTATCGTAAACTATTGTAGACTATGGTAAACTATCGTATACTGTCGTAAACTACCGTAAACTGTCTTAAACAGTCGTAAACTATTGTAAATATTCGTAAACGATCGTCAACGGTCGTAGTCGCTCGCAATCGGTCTTAAACTATCGTAAGCTGTCGTAAACAGTCGAAAAAGTCGGAAAATTCGAAAATTTGAAATTTCGAAAATTCAAAAATTCGAAAAATACGAAAATTAGAAAATTCGAAAGTCGAAAGTCGAAAAGTCGTGAAGTCGTATAGCTGAAAGACCGTAAATGGTCGCAAGCTATCGTCAGCTATCGCAAACTACCATAAATTATCGTAAACTGACGTAAACTGGCGTAATCTATCGTAAACGATCTTAAACTGTCTTAAACAGTCGTGAACTATCGTAAATGGTCCTAAACGGTCATAAGCTATCGTTAACTATAGTAAACTGTCGTAGACTGTCGTAAGCTAAACTATCGTAAACTATTGTAGACTATGGTAAACTATCGTAAACTGTCGTAAACTACCGTAAACTGTTTTAAACAGTCGTAAACTATTGTAAATATTCGTAAACGGTCATCAACGGTCGTAGTCGCTCGCACTCGGTCTTAAACTATCGTAAGCTATCGTAAACAGTCGAAAAAGTCGGAAAATTCGAAAATTTGAAATTTCGAGAAATTCGAAAATTTGAAAATTCGAAAGTCGAAAGTCGAAAAGTCGTAAAGTCGTATAGCTGAAAAACCGTAAACGGTCGCAAGCTATCGTCAGCTATCGCAAATTATCATAAATTATCGTAAACTGACGTAAACTGCCGTAATCTATCGTAAACGATCTTGAACTGTCTTAAACAGTCGTGAACTATCGTAAATGGTCCTAAACGGTCATAAGCTATCGTAAACTATAGTAAACTGTCGTAGACTGTCGTAAGCTAAACTATCGTAAACTATTGTAGACTATGGTAAACTATCGTATACTGTCGTAAACTACCGTAAACTGTCTTAAACAGTCGTAAACTATTGTAAATATTCGTAAACGGTCGTCAACGGTCGTAGTCGCTCGCAATCGGTCTTACACTATCGTAAGCTGTCGTAAACAGTCGAAAAAGTCGGAAAATTCGAAAATTTGAAAATTCGAAAATTCGAAAATTCGAAAATTCGAAGATTCGAAAATTCGAAAATTCGAAAATTCGAAAATTCGAAAATTCGAAAATTCGAAAATTCGAAAATTCGAAAATTCGAAAATTCGAAAATTCGAAAATTCGAAAATTCGAAAATTCGAAAATTCGAAAATTCGAAAATTCGAAAATTCGAAAATTCGAAAATTCGAAAATTCGAAAATTCGAAAATTCGAAAATTCGAAAATTCGAAAATTCGAAAATTCGAAAATTCGAAAATTCGAAAATTCGAAAATTCGAAAATTCGAAAATTCGAAAATTCGAAAATTCGAAAGTCGAAAAGGCGTGAAGTCGTATGGCTGAAAGACCGTAAACGGTCGCAAGCTATCGTCAGCTATCGCAAACTATCATAAATTATCGTAAACTGACGTAAACTGGCGTAATCTATCGTAAACAATCTTAAACTGTCTTAAACAGTCGTGAACTATCGTAAATGGTCCTAAACGGTCATAAGCTATCGTAAACTATAGTAAACTGTCATAGACTGTCGTCAGCTAAACTATCGTAAACTATTGTAGACTATGGTAAACTATCGTAAACTGTCGTAAACTACCGTAAACTGTCATAAACAGTCGTAAACTATTGTAAATATTCGTAAACGGTTGTAGTCGCTCGCAATCGGGCTTAAACTATCGTAAGCTGTCGTAAACAGTCGAAAAAGTCGGAAAATTCGAAAATTTGAAAATTCGAAAATTCAAAAATTCGAAAATTCGAAAATTCGAAAATTCGAAAATTAGAAAATTAGAAAATTAGAAAATTAGAAAATTCGAAAGTCGAAAGTCGTGAAGTCGTATAGCTGAAAGACCGTAAATGGTCGCAAGCTATCGTCAGCTATCGCAAACTATCATAAATTATCGTAAACTGACGTAAACTGGCGTAATCTATCGTAAACGATCTTAAACTGTCTTAAACAGTCGTGAACTATCGTAAATGGTCCTAAACGGTCACAAGCTATCGCAAACTATAGTAAACTGTCGTAGACTGTCGTAAGCTAAACTATCGTAAACTATTGTAGACTATGGTAAACTATCGTAAACTGTCGCAAACTACCGTAAACTGTCTTAAACAGTCGTAAACTATTGTAAATATTCGTAAACGGTCGTCAAAAGTCGTAGTCGCTCGCAATCGGTCTTAAACTATCGTAAGCTGTCGTAAACAGTTGAAAAAGTCGGAAAATTCGAAAATTTGAAAATTCGAAAATTAGAAAATTCGAAAGTCGAAAAGTCGTGAAGTCGTATAGCTGAAAGACCGTAAATGGTCGCAAGCTATCGTCAGCTATCGCAAACTATCATAAATTATCGTAAACTAACGTAAACTGGCGTAATCTATCGTAAACGATCTTAAACTGTCTTAAACAGTCGTGAACTATCGTAAATGGTCCTAAACGGTCACAAGCTATCGTAAACTATAGTAAACTGTCGTAAGCTAAACTATCGTAAACTATTGTAGACTGTGGTAAACTATCGTAAACTGTCCTAAACTACCGTAAACTGTCTTAAACGGTCGTAAACTATTGTAAATATTCGTAAACGGTCGTCAACGGTCGTAGTCGCTCGCAATCGGTCTTAAACTATCGTAAGCTGTCGTAAACAGTCGAAAAAGTCGGAAAATTCGAAAATTTGAAAATTCAAAAATTCGAAAATTCGAAAGTCGAAAGTCGAAAAGTCGTGAAGTCGTATAGCTGAAAGACCGTAAACGGTCGCAAGCTATCGTCACCTATCGCAAACTACTATAAAGTATCGTAAACTGACGTACACTGGCGTAATCTATCGTAAACATTCTTAAACTGTCTTAAACTGTCGTGAACTATCGTAAATGGTCCTAAACGGTCATAAGCTATCGTAAACTATAGTAAACTGTCGTAGACTGTCGTAAGCTAAACTATCTTAAACTATTGTAGACTATTGTAAACTATCGTAAACTACCGTAAGCTGTCTTAAACAGTCGTAAACTATTGTAAATATTCGTAAACGGTCGTCAACGGTCGTAGTCGCTCGCAATAGGTCTTAAACTATCGTAAGCTGTCGTAAACAGTCGAAAAAGTCGGAAAATTCGAAAATTTGAGAATTCGAAAATTCTAAAATTCGAAAATTCGAAAATTCGAAAATTCGAAAGTCGAAAGTCGAAAAATCGTGAAGTCGTATAGCTGAAAGACCGTAAACGGTCGCAAGCTATCGTCAGCTATCGCAAACTATCACAAATTATCGTAAACTGACGTAAACTGGCGTAATCTATTGTAAACGATCTTAAACTGTCTTAAACAGTTGTAAACTATAAATGGTCCTAAACGGTGATAAACTATCGTAAACTATAGTAAACAGTCGTAGACTGTCGTAATCTAAACTATCGTAAACTATTGTAGACTATGGTAAACTATCGTAAACTGTCGTAAACTACCGTAAACTGTCTTAAACAGTCGTAAACTATTGTAAATATTCGTAAACGGTCGTCAACGGTCGTAGTCGCTCGCAATCGGTCTTAAACTATCGTAAGCTGTCGTAAACAGTCGAAAAAGTCGGAAAATTCGAAAATTTGAAAATTCGAAAATTCTAAAATTCGAAAATTCGAAAGTCGAAAGTCGGAAAGTCGTGAAGTCGTATAGCTGAAAGACCGTAAACGGTCGCAAGCTATCGTCAGCTATCGCAAACTATCACAAATTATCGTAAACTGACGTAAACTGGCGTAATCTATCGTAAACGATCTTAAACTGTCTTAAACAGTCGTGAACTATCGTAAATGGTCCTAAACGGTGATAAACTATCGTAAACTATAGTAAACAGTCGTAGACTGTCGTAATCTAAACTATCGTGAACTATTGTAGACTATGGTAAACTATCGTAAACTGTCGTAAACTACCGTAAACTGTCTTAAACAGTCGTAAACTATTGTAAATATTCGTAAACGGGCGTCAACGGTCGTAGTCGCTCGCAATCGGTCTTAAACTATCGTAAGCTGTCGTAAACAGTCGAAAAAGTCGGAAAATTCGAAAATTCGAAAATTCGAAAATTCGAAAATTCGAAAGTCGAAAGTCGAAAAATCGTGAAGTCGTATAGCTGAAAGACCGTAAACGGTCGCAAGCTATCGTCAGCTATCGCAAACTATCACAAATTATCGTAAACTGACGTAAACTGGCGTAATCTATTGTAAACGATCTTAAACTGTCTTAAACAGTTGTAAACTATCGTAAATGGTCCTAAACGGTCATAAGCTATCGTAAACTATAGTAAATTGTCGTAGAATGTCGTAAGCTAAACTATTGTAAACTATTGTAGACTATGGTAAACTATCGTAAACTGTCGTAAACTACCGTGAACTGTCTTAAACAGTCGTAAACTATCGTAAATATTCGTAAACGGTCGTCAACGGTCGTAGTCGCTCGCAATCGGTCTTAAACTATCGTAAGCTGTCGTAAACAGTTGAAAAATTCGGAAAATTCGAAGATTCTAAAATTCGAAAATTCGAAAATTCGAAAGTCGAAAGTCGAAAAGTCGTGAAGTCGTATAGCTGAAAGACCGTAAACGGTCGCAAGTTATCGTCAGCTATCGCAAACTATCATAAATCATCGTAAACTGACGTAAACTGGCGTAATCTATCGTAAACGATCTTAAACTGTCTTAAACAGTCGTGAACTATCGTAAATGGTCCTAAACGGTCATAAGCTATCGTAAACTATAGTAAATTGTCGTAGACTGTCGTAATCTAAACTATCGTAAAATATTGTAGACTATGGTAAACTATCGTAAACTGTCGTAAACTACCGTAAACTGTCTTAAACAGTCGTAAACTATTGTAAATATTCATAAACGGTCGTCAACGGTCGTAGTCGCTCGCAATCGGTCTTAAACTATCGTAAGCTGTCGTAAACAGTCGAAAAAGTCGGAAAATTCGAAAATTCGAAAATTAGAAAATTCGAAAGTCGAAAGTCGAAAAGTCGTGAAGTCGTATAGCTGAAAGACCGTAAACGGTCGCAAGCTATCGTCAGCTATCGCAAACTATCATAAATTATCGTAAACTGACGTAAACTGGCGTAATCTATCGTAAACGATCTTAAACTGTCTTAAACAGTCGTGAACTATCGTAAATGGTCCTAAACGGTCATAAGCTATCGTAAACTATAGTAAACTGTCGTAGACTGTCGTAAGCTAAACTATCGTAAACTATTGTAGACTATGGTAAACTGTCATAAACTACCGTAAACTGTCTTAAACAGTCGTAAACTATTGTAAATATTCGTAAACGGTCGTCAACGGTCGTAGTCGCTCGCAATCGGTCTTAAACTATCGTAAGCTGTCGTAAACAGTCGAAAAAGTCGGAAAATTCGAAAATTTGAAAATTCGAAAATTCGAAAATTCGAAAATTAGAAATTCGAAAGTCGAAAAGTCGAAAAGTCGAAAAGTCGTGAAGTCGTATAGCTGAAAGACCGTGAACGGTCGCAAGCTATCGTCAGCTATCGCAAACTACTATAAATTATCGTAAACTGACGTAAACTGGCGTAATCTATCGTAAACGATCTTAAACTGTCTTAAACAGTCGTGAACTACCGTAAATGGTCCTAAACGGTCATAAGCTATCGTAAACTATAGTAAACTGTCGTAGACTGTCGTAATCTAAACTGTCGTAAACTATTGTAGACTATGGTAAACTATCGTAAACTGTCGTAAACTACCGTAAACTGTCTTAAACAGTCGTAAACTATCGTAAATATTCGTAAACGGTCGTCAACGGTCGTAATCGCTCGCAATCGGTCTTAAACTATCGTAAGCTGTCGTAAACAGTCGAAAAAGTCGGAAAATTCGAAAATTTTAAAACCTAGAGATTCTTTCAAAAAATTCGCATTTTGATTCAGGTGCGAATAAGGGACTATCCATCCAAAACCATCCGTCTGAATGTTACAGATGAGTATTTCAATGATATTCTAGAAGTAATTGGAGAGAATATCATGAATATGTTTATTCCAGTTAATGAGTACATGAGCAAGCTAGAAGAGGACTTCCAGGTAGATTTTTTCCGAACGAAAGCAAACTTTTCTCATTCATCATTGAACACTGTTGAATTTCAGGAAATATTTCGGAGGTTCACTAAAGTCGATGAGACCAACCCATTTAAGACAGGTTTGAGTCAGATAAAACATTACCAGAATTACATGAACAAGGTAAAGGTCACCTTTTATTAAAATATCAAGATGAAATGTATCGAATGATATCAATGCACAGGTCGGATCTATGTTGAGCAGCGAATACTTTGGCATAGGACAATTAGTCCTCTCAGAATACGTTCAGTCCATGCGAGAGTCGCTCTCTGAAGTAATGGAAGACCTGTTTTTAAAACTGTGCACGCTGCACGAGGAAGAGAACGAGGATATTTGCGACTGTTTTGAAGCTATAAAAGCTGAAGCTTTGAGAAGACCAGCTACAAGCGAAGAACTGATTGCTCAAGGTATCGAAATGTTGAACGAAAATATTATTTGTTTGTCTTTGCGATCTTAGCAGATAAATAATTTTTGTAGGAAAATATATGATATGGGTGAAGACAGTCCATTTGATGGAGCTACGAGAAAGAATTCAAGCTATGCTGTACAACTTGACAGATCTCATGCTATACGGTACGTTAGAAAAAGAGCACATGGAGCTGAATGCGAAGACGGTGAACTGGTTGACCGAAATCGAACCGATCTTGAACATAAACTCCAGTATGTACGAGCAGCTCAAGTTTGAGTCAGAAGTGAAGCTAACGAGCACGATCACTTACGTGAATACGTCAATTGACACCTTGATTCCGTTGCTCGGAGTCTTGAATGACATGGACGACTATGAAAGGTACAACGAGTCAATCTACTTGACATTTGTTGTTTTCATTTCCTACGCCTACTGGTGAGCAAACAAAAAGTGCCGACACTTCATTTTTTGACGTTTCAGATGTCCCTGATCATTTTCTGATTTATTTTATTGATGGCGGTGAAAAAATGGGTTGACCGACGAACACTGCAACAGCGCAATTGTGCACCAGCTGGGGATATTTCAGGAAATTTGTTACTTTCTCCAATGTTGCTGTGAAAGATAACGGGTTATCCGAAATGGAGTTCAAACAAATTAATGAAAGGAAACTTTGAATTTCATTTTGTTGCCTCTGATAGACGAACGGATGCTAAATTTGTTTGCGGCCTGCGGGTAGACGTAAGATTCAACTGATTTTTTTCCAGGGGAGGCCAAATAATGCATAAATAAAATTCCCCAATTAACCCAATTAAATCCGTCCCCATAACACATATCACAAAAACGTTCAAGAATTCTCAAACAAAATCGAAGAACTCACAAACAATCAAACATTCTTCACTTTCTCATTTTCTGCTTGCGTGTTGGCCGGAGAGGACGCAGTATCTGCAATGTTACCACGTTGCTAATTTAACAGACCATTACATCAACTCTGATAGGTGAAAATAACACAGTCACCGTTTTTTTTAGCTGACTGCCTTAGAAGGAAAGTTATGTTTTACATGGATAAAAAACTGTTCGCGGCTAATTTTTTTTACAGGTGTAGGGAATACGTGAACGCCATAAAGCTCCACATGGTCCAAATGCGAGATTTGCGTCAGAAGATCACATGGATCAACAAGGAACAACTTTGCCTGGGTTTCAACGTGTCTCCGTTCAAAAACGTCGAGGAGGTCCAGAATTTCGTGTATCCTTTTTTCCATTTGCTGAAAATTTGCATGAACATCAAGAGGCACATCGACGTGTGGCTGGATGGGCAATTTGAGTTTTTGACCTACGAGGAGACTGAAGAGCAGGTTGAGGAGTATATGAAGGAGTTATTGAAGATACAAAAGACCTATCGGATCAAACTGAGGTATGATGATCGAAAGTGTCATTACATCATTTCTTAAAAGAATTTGAGTTTCCAAATAAGAAAATTTTCAGTATAGGATCAATAAGTATGGCCCCTTTGGTTCCAAAGTGTGTGATCCATTACAATTCTTTTTTAAGTTTAAATATCGTGTTTGTATATTGTATTGCACTTCCTATTATTATTATTATTATTATTATTATTATTATTTGAATTTCAGACAGGCGCAAGCCGAGAACACATCAATCCGTTTCTTCGGCGTCGTGGACGATCCGGATCTGTACAGTTGGCCAGCACCATTGAAACTGGCCGCAAACGCCATCCAAGCTTTGAAAGACTTCCGACCGGCCATGACCATAATGCGCATCATGTGCAACGATGCCCTGGTGAAGCGTCACTGGAAGGAGATGTCCGCCATTGCTGGATTTGAACTAGCTCCGAACGCCGGATCGTCGCTAAGGAAATACACCCGAATGGGTCAGTAGTACAGTCAAGTTGAAAAGGAAAAAATAGCATGTGCTTTGCACGCTCTGGTATAGAATAATAATATAATTGAACTGTTAATTTATTTTTTCGAAGAATCGGTTTTGATAGCTTTCATACGACTTAGCATCGTTACATCATCATGTCGTAAAAACGACAAATTTCGGTCTTGTAGGGCTGGTTGTCTGAAGCGCTGCCTTGGCGCTCTGTGATGGTACGCCTCGGTGGACCAGTTGGCCTTCTTCGTGTTACACTACCTTCTTTTATCCACACACAACACACACGCATTACCGTCATTACAGTACGATTAACACGGCGGCGAATTTCGCTATAGGACAAACCAACATCTCGATAGGCAACAATTCTACCCCTGTCAAAACCTCTAACATGGTGATAATTTGAACGTCTTCGAACTCGGTGTATTTTATTATGTTTAACAGTAGTAAATGAAAGGGCAATAACTAAAAATATCTGTACTATTCAACTCTCAGAGCCTGCTTTCTTCACTAAAACTAAGAGATAACATTTTAACGAAGGTAGTACTATAATACTTTCTCACCAATAGCCTAGGAATTAATAACAAGCTGAACATGGTTATTCTCTTTGTCGTTCACAATAATCTATATAGTAATGTCAAGCACCAATATGGTTTTCCTCGACTTCCTAAATTGTGGTTTTTCCTACAGGTTTGGAACCTGACTTGGAAAAATATGACGTCATAAGTTCGGCGGCCACTAAAGAACGTGAGCTGTTCAGGAACTTGACAAAGATGCAAAACGAATGGGCTGATATATTGTTCAAGACAGGGACGTTCAAAGATACTGGCATTGTTATTTTGACGGCCCTTGATGATATCCAGGTACATATTTTCAAAAAAAAATATTGCCCATGAGTAAGTGTTTTGTAATATGTTCATGTATTTGTTTGAGAAATAGGTGGTTTTGGACGACCACATCTTGAAAGCGCTTACCATGAGAGGCTCCATTTTTGTGAAACCGTACGAAATGGAGGTCAGAGCATTTTACGACAGGCTAGTTAGGATCAACAAGACGATAGATGAATGGGGAAAAGTCCAGAGTCAGTGGTTGTATTTACTGCCAATTTTTTCGTCTAAAGATATTGTGGCTCAGATGCCTGAAGAAGGTACACTTTTCAAAGAGGTATGTATGCGCAAATTACTTCTTTGTCGCTTGAGTAATATACAGGGTGGCCCATCCATGTGAATTAAATACGTGTTATCACTCGCGTTCATATCTCTCTTGTAATCGCCAAAGGATGTTAGAGAAATACTTCAGTAACTTTTGTAGAGTAGCTTTTATTGAGGCATCAGCAACAGTTGAGAACAGAAGAACAAGTAACGAAATGAGTACAGAGAATAGTCAAAGACCCTTTTTATATTCTAGGATTAGAGTTACGAATTTTCCAGAAATCAGTAGTGTCGGGTAAAGATGCAAGCATCTTCACATCCTGTCTTTCGAGTATGCGACGGTGTTATACTCGTAGGGATTTGGATGGTGTTAATGCTTTAAGGTAATGGCATCAGGATACCATAACTCATCCCCACGGTGAAATATGCAATACAATTTGAGGCATTCCATTTAAAAAATCACGACTTTGATACGTAGGTCAGAATTGGGACAATCTGTATAATTGCCAATATTACATATTACAGCCTTAGTAATTTGACGATAGCAATGATTTTTCAGGTGAATGATACGTATAAACGATACATAGACGTAGTGGTCAGAGATGCGAGGGTATTTGAAACAGCTGGATCTCCTGGTGTGCTCGAGGCGATGGAGCACTGTAATGAACTACTCGAAAAGATCAACGACGGTGTGACGAGCTATTTAGAAAAGAAACGGCTCTTTTTCCCAAGGTATACAGGGTGTTGCATAGTTTGCGGGGAATTTTATTCAAAAGCTCGCCTTCTTGTGCAGGTTCTTCTTCCTTTCAAATGACGAAATGCTGGAAATACTCTCGGAAACGAAGGATCCCTTGCGAGTACAGCCGCATTTGAAAAAATGCTTCGAGGCAATAAACAGATTGGAATTCAATGAGAATTTGGAAATTTTGGCAATGTTCAGCATGGAAAACGAAAAGGTTCGACTGTGAAATCGGTGACAATTTTTTAGCCCAGAATCACAAACGATACTTTTCAGTCGATGTGCCAACAGAAGAATTTGTTACGTTGTAGGTCAATTTAAAGGCGAAAGTAAACACGAAAGATGCTGATGGAAGCGTAGAAAAATGGCTGGTGCAAGTGGAGGACCAAATGGTTGTATCGGTCAAAGACCAAATTTTGAAAAGCTTCAAGAGTTACTTTGTGTTACCTAGAACAACTTGGGTGCAGAAATGGCCTGGACAGGTTGACCATAATGATTAGCAATTATTATTCACTAAATGAAAACGTTGAATTTCAGGTGGTACTTTGTGTATCGCAAATGCATTGGACATACGATGTGCACAGAGCTCTCAATAACGAAGATCTAACGGTTTCTAGATTAGTCGGTAAGACGTCGTATTTGTTCTCAAAAGCAGATTGCATCCATATGAATGGTCCATTCGGAAACAATTGACCCTTATTTTTTTTCAGAAATGCTTCGAGTGCAGCTGCAGGAGATAGTAGATGTGGTGAGAAGTCCCACAATTTCAAATTTAGCGCGAATCACAATAAAAGCGTTGATCGTAATCGACGTCCATGCCAAAGACGTCGTCGAAGATCTTTACTCGAAAAAAGTGTCCAACGACAAAGAGTTCAAATGGCAGGCGCAGATGCGGTACTATCTGGAAGACGACGAGGCTCTCGTCAGGCTCGTCAATGCTACGGTCAAGTACGCCTATGAATACTTAGGTAACGTTCGATCCGCGATGGTATTGTACCAAATAATACAGAGTTACCGGTAGATGGGGAGCTCCGTCGAAAAAAAACAGGTCCTGTCGCGGTTTTCTTTTTTTTTTTGTGAGGGGAGAATGCGTTTACGCACCATACCAAAGCCCGAGCTACGGCGTGTGTGGGACTCCAGGTTGTCTTGAGGAGACCACCTAATACCCACTAAACCCTAACCTCTGCGTGGCGCGACTGATCAGCGTCTCGGTAGGCCATGTGTTGTGCGTGACCTGCGGTCTGCTACAACGTCTCCTCATGTGCTTCAGTCTCTGGGAACGCCGGGTTGGTTCCCTTTACCTCGCACATTCTATCGATGTCCTTAAGCGAGCATCGGTAGAGGGTTTGCTATGTTCTCTTGAAACTCTTGTTTTCGAAAAATCAAGAGTTTCAAGTCCTCTTACCAATATGTTGTTCCTGGTCCTGGTCCTGGTGGGTCCTGGTCGTGGCGGGTCCTGGTCCTGGTTGGTCCTGGTCCCGGTGGGTCCTGGTCCCGGTGGTTCCTGGTCCTCTGCATCCACGCCGTAGGGGGGGGGGAGCAGCCGCGGGTTCTCCTAGTCTCCTAGTCAAGGTTCCAGTTAGCGGGTGCCAACTGAGACCTTGGTCTAGGGTACCTGGTTCTGCGGTTGCGAGGCCTCTCGTCCGGATCGTAGTCCATGAGGAATCGTAGCTGCTCGTTCGGGTGGTCCTGAGCTTTCTGGAAGGTCTTCTCCGCTTTTTTCCTCATGTACTCGTGGATGGTGTCCCAATGCAGGTCTCTACGTAAGGTTGAGTTTCTTACGTAGGATGGTGCACTGGTGGCGATCCGGAGTAGCTTCATCTCTAGAGCAGCAAGTCGCTTGCGGTAGCTGGGGGCAGCGTACCCCCAGACCGCGGAGGCGTAAGCGAGCTGAGGTCTGGCGATGGCCTTGATCAGCCGTAGCTTGGTCGCTAGCGGCATCCGGCTGTGCCTACCGAGTAATGGGTAGAGTTGAGCCATGGCTGCTCTGGTCTTTGCGATGACAGCTTCTATGTGGGCTTTCCAGGTGAGGGACTTGTCAAATACGATCCCCAGATATTTGACTTTGTCGCTCCACTGGATATCTTCGTCGAAGATGGATGCTTCGAGAGGTCTTGCAATCCTTCTTCGTTGAATGAAGATTGCCTGCGTCCTCTGGACGTTGATGCGGATTTTCCATTTCACGCACCAGTCCTGGATGTGGTCCAGTTCATCCTGTAGTCTCCTACGGATGATCTCGAGTCGTCTATGCTTGGCGGCTATAGCAGTGTCGTCTGCATATAGGGTCAGCATTGTGTCAGCTGTCTTCGGCACATCGTGAGTATAGATGTTGTAGAGCAGGGGGCTAAGGCTGACCCCTGGGGCACGCCTGCTTCCAGCTGTCTACTTGTTGAATGGCATGTACCAATCTTCACCGTGAACCATCTTTGTGTTAGATAGCTCTGGATCAGTTGGCACATGTTCGCATCGATTCCGGCGGCTTCCATTTTGGCGATGAGTCCATCGTGCCAAACTCGATCGAAGGCTCGTTCCACGTCCAGCAGGACGAGACCGGTTGCCTCCTGGAGATTGAAGCCGCTGGTGATGTTTTCTGTCAGTCGTAGCGCTTGGAGTTCCGTGTTGTGGGAGGATCTGAAGCCGAATTGCTCTGGGGGGTGAAGTTCCAGTTCTTCTGCCTGCTTCTCTAGTCGAACGGCGATAGCCTTTTCGACTACTTTGCCCATCGAGGAAACCAGGCTGATGGGCTGGTAGTTCTGGGGCAACTTCCGGTCCTTGCCTGGCTTGGTGAGCATTATAACCTGGGCTTCCCGCCACCGCCGCGGGAAGTGGTTAAGTCTCAGAGTGGCATTGGCGATGTTGGTGAGCGCAGCAATGCCTTTGGTGGGGACGTTCTTCAGCATCCTGTTGTTGATGCCGTCCCTTCCCGGCGCCTTTCTGACCTTCAACCTGCGGATGATCAGACGGTTTTTTTCTGGACTGGAGGGGTGATGTGTCTCCTGGCCACTCCGTCGAAAAAACAGGTCCTGTCGCGGTGGCCGAAATGCTACTTGCCATTCGGATGCGATTCATTACATGGACAATAGTCCAGGAAATATTTTCCCATCTGCTCGGACAAATATACTGATTAGGTTTTTTGCACAACTTTAATGAAAAAAACAATTTTTGACGGTCTGCCAAAATGCAGATTCAGCCTGTGTTAAGGGTTTGTTTTAATGAGATTATGCGAAATAACAATTAAACTATTTTTCTTAGCAAATGCCAAGATACTTCCTATACTGTAACTGCCGAGGTAGTCGATGGCCGGCATCTGATCCCGTTGGAAGTGGGTCGCGTGACTGTTGGATGTGTTTAGGGCGATTCAATGTGACAAGCTGGTGGTCCGCGCTTAGATGCAAAATAAATGAGGGAAATGGTGTTCCGATGCATTGCTAATAATTTTGGGCAAACGTTCATATTCCAGCATATTGGGAATTCGGCCACAGAAGCTCAGGTCGAGGTGTAATTGACGAAGGAGGTCCATCCAAAGTTTATCGATGATTCATGAGTGCACCATTGTCAAAAACACGATTCCACGAAAATTTGATGTGGATTCGAGTGCTTAGAATAATGACGTCATCAACTGCTTTTTCGCGATTGGCCCTTTTACTGGTATCTTTGTATCCTCTGCTTATGCTAACTCGAGATATCGTGTTAGGTAATTCTGACCGTTTGGTGATCACCCCGTTGACGGATCGGTGCTATCGCACCCTGATCGGAGCGTACCATCTGCATCTGAACGGAGCTCCCGAAGGTCCAGCGGGCACCGGGAAAACGGAGACCACCAAGGATTTGGCGAAGGCGATCGCCGTACAATGTGTCGTCTTCAACTGCTCTGATGGTCTCGATTACAAAGCGATGGGGAAATTCTTCAAAGGGTTGGCCTCTTGCGGAGCATGGGTGTGCTTTGACGAGTTCAACAGGATCGACATAGAGGTATTTTGAATATTTTCAAAATTTGCTTTGGTTTTGGTTGGTCGACTGCAAACTTGTATATCACCAGAAAGCGGGGAGAGTGCCTATTAGGAATGTATCTTGTTCCTACCAGCGCGACTCTACCTATTATACAGGGTGTAAACGTAAAAATAATGACTACCATAGCGTTAACACGCTGTATTTCATACATTACAGATTTCCCCTTACATTTTCCCTTAAAACTTGAATAATAAAAGTAAAGGGTTGTCCAATAGGGACGCAGGAAAGTAAATGTCAATTTGACATAGACGCCATCTTTGTTTTCTGTCACCGACATGTCATTTTGTCAGTTGAATGTTTACCATTGATCGCTATGGAGTCGTATTCGATTGAAGACCGCATTAAAGTTATTCAAGAGCACTACAAAAATAGTGCAAAAATAAGAAACACGTTTCGCGCGCTTCGTGAACATTTCGGTCGCAACAACCGCCCAAACGAAACAACCATCGGTCGTCTGGTGCGTAAATTCGAGGTAACAGGTTCTGTGGCAAATCTGCCAGGCTCTGGCCGGCCAAGGAGCATTCGCACACTGGAAAATATTGCTGTTGTGAAGGAGAGTGTGATAGACGATCCGAAACAATCAACAACGCGTCGATCCCAAGAATTGGGCATTTCGAGAACCAGTTTGCTCCGCATTCTCCACAAGGATTTGAATGTACACGCCTACAAGATCCAATTGAAGCAAGAACTGTGTCGGCCCGACCATTTTTCGCGCCGAACGTTCTCAGATTGGCTCCTTGAACACCGCCAAATTGATGCCAATTTTTCATCAAAAATCATGTTCAGCGACGGAGCGCATTTCACTTTGAATGGGACGGTAAACAAGCAAAACTGCCGCATCTGGGCGAACGAAAATCCCCGTGAGTATCAAGAGCAGCCGATGCATCCTCAAAAAGTGACTGTGTGGTGTGCATTGTGGTCAAAAGGCATCATCGGACCTTACTTTTTCGAAAATGCGGCCGGGGACGCCGTTACCGTCAATTCTGAGCGATATCACGTGATGATAGAGGACTATTTTTTGCCGCAACTTGAAGGAATGGATATGGACGATGTTTATTTCCAACAAGACGGTGCAACATGCCACACAACCAACGTCAATATGCATCGATTGCAGTCCTTCTTCGGTGATCGCGTGATTTCGCGCAGAGGAAATGTGCCATGGCCACCAAGATCGTGCGATTTGACTGCCTTGTACTTCTTTTTATGGGGATATTTGAAAAGCAAAGTCTACGTCAACAAACCAGCCACCCTCCAAGAACTCAAAAACAACATCATTGCCGAGATAAATGCCATAGAACCGACCATGTTGCAAAATGTTATTGAAAATTTCGACCATCGCGTGGACGTCTGTAAATCCAGTCGTGGTGAACATTTGGGCGACATTATTTTTCATACATAAATGGTATAAATGAACCTTCAAAATAAAGTACCCAACTTGATTTGAATATCAATCTTTCTTGTTTTAATATGCGTTTACTTTCCTGCGTCCGTTTTGGACAACCCCATATATTTTCGATATGCGCGTATGAAATAATCTAACGAACGAACTCTCGAATGCTGAGGGATAACTGAAATATTGAATGATGATGCGTGTAAGCGTATATATACTTGACGTCAATTTTCCTAAACTGATTTTGAACAAATATTTTCAAGAAGCCTCTTGTCTATAAATCTATAACTTGTAGGTACTTTCCGTTGTTGCGCAACAAATCCTGTCCATCGTGATGGCCGTAAGGGCGCACGCAACAAAATTCAACTTCGAAGGCACCGAGATCACCTTGAATCCGGCATGCTACGTTTGCATCACCATGAATCCAGGTTACGCTGGACGATCGGAGCTGCCGGATAATCTCAAGGTACACACCTTTTTTCCTATAAAATTGTTTGTATTTCCATTATTTATCTTTTTTTATGAAGGTACTCTTCCGTACAGTGGCCATGATGGTGCCAGACTACGCCATGATCGGAGAAATCTCGCTGTATTCGTACGGGTTCAAAGACGCTCGAAATCTTTCCGTGAAGATCGTCACCGTATACAGACTTTGCTCCGAACAGCTGTCTTCTCAAAACCACTACGATTATGGTAACCGAATACTTGAATCATCTACCGTCTGAGACTTATCCTGTAATTTTCATGTCGATAATACCCCTTGTTTGTTTGGTCCATTAAAGTACACTTGACTGAAACGTTAAAGAAACATCTCAAATACATGCGGTTTCATTGGTCAGACAAACATGGGGGATTATTAACTTTATCATCATTACACATCTCCAAATCGAGATGGATTATGTTCAAGGTATGAGAGCCGTCAAGTCTGTATTGTCAGCTAGCGGCAACAACAAGAAGAAATATCCCGATGAGGATGAAGACATCTTACTGTTACGAGCCATTCTGGACGTGAACTTGCCGAAATTCTTAAATCACGATCTTCCTCTTTTTGACGGTAACATTTTCTTAACTAAGTGATGTTTCGTGGATTCATCGTATCATAATTTTTGCGTAGGCATAATCAATGATCTCTTCCCTGGAGTGATATTGCCGAAGGCGGATTATACCGTTTTCACAGAAGCGATGGTTTCCTGCAGCGAGGAACGTAATTTGCAACCAAAAGAATCCTTTCTGGTTAAGGTATCGTTTTTTTATATGGGGTTGTCCAAAACGGAAGCAGGAAAGTAAACGCATATTAAAACAAGAAAGATTGATATTCAAATCAAGTTGGGTACTTTATTTTGAAGGTTCATTTATACCATTTATGTATGAAAAATAATATCGCTCAAATGTTCACCACGACTGGATTTGCAGACGTCCACGCGATGGTGGAAATTTTCAATGACATTTTGCAACATGGTCCGTTCTATGGCATTTATCTCGGCAATGATGTTGTTTTTGAGTTCTTGGAGGGTGGCTGGTTTGTTGACGTAGACTTTGCTTTTCAAATATCCCCATAAAAAGAAGTCCAAGGGAGTCAAATCGCACGATCTTGGTGGCCATGGCACGTTTCCTCTGCGCGAAATCACGCGATCACCGAAGAAGGACTGCAATCGATGGATATTGACGTTGGTTGTGTGGCATGTTGCACCGTCTTGTTGGAAATAAACATCGTCCATATTCATTCCTTCAAGTTGCGGCAAAAAATAGTCATCGGCTGCTCTTGATACTCACGGGGATTTTTGTTCGCCCAGACACGACAGCTTTGCTTGTTTACCGTCCCATTCAAAGTGAAATGCGCTTCGTCGCTGAACATGATTTTTGATGAAAAATTGGCATCAATTTGGCGGTGTTCAAGGAGCTAATCTGAGAACGTTCGGCGCGAAAAATGGTCGGCCCGACGCAGTTCTTGCCCAATTCTTGGGATCGACGCGTTGTTGATTGTTTCGGATCGTCTATCACACTCTCCTTCACAACAGCAATATTTTCCGGTGTGCGAACGCTCCTTGGCCGGCCAGAGCCTGGCAGATTTGCCACAGAACCTGTTTCCTCGAATTTACGCACCAGACGACCGATCGTTGTTTCGTTTGGGCGGTTGTTGCGACCGAAATGTTCACGAAGCGCGCGAAACGTGTTTTTTATTTTTGCACCATTTTTGTAGTGCTCTTGAATAACTTTAATGCGGTCTTCAAACGAATATGACTGCATAGCGATCAATGGTAAACATTCAACTAACCAAATGACATGTCGGTGACAGAAAACAAAGATGGCGTCTATGTCAAATTGACGTTTACTTTCCTGCGTCCCTATTGAACAACCTTTTATATTTTATAAGAAATCTTTGCGCAAGCATGGGATTTGCTTACCTTTGCTGACAAGAGGATCGGGGTCAAAGTGTATGTGGAAGATCAAATCAAACACCTGTGCTTTCATAACCAAGTCCTTTACGTTTGAATACGGATATGGAAAACTATTAATGTTCTCCTCCTTACAACGAATAATACATTTTTTCTGACTAGGTGATCCAAACGTATGAGATGATGATAGTACGCCACGGTTTCATGTTGGTAGGATATCCTTTTGCGGGCAAGACTTCGACGTTAAAAGTACTGGCCGATACTCTAACAGTGTTGAACAAACAAGGATCAGGAGAAGAAAAAGTGCAGACCCTTACGCTAAATCCCAAAGCCATTACAATGGGTAAACATACGAAATAATCTTGTCAAAAACTTTCTTTAAACAACTTGAGAACTATACGTGTCATTAATGAAATGCAAATATTTAAGGGGGCGAATATACAAAAATTAATGTTAGTTTGTTTTATAAACTACGCTCCAAAAATGTTTCCTTACAGAAACTCGGGGTATTGAAGTTTTACAAAGAAAATGGAATTTAATTAATATTTTGTGAACCGCTTCAGATATTTTACTGATATTTAATATGTAGTGGAAGTTAATAAAGGTGCACATTTTTCAATGCAAAAATAATTTTTAGCTCTAACAGTGGTGTTCGTACGGGTATTGACTTCGATATTTTTTAAGAAAAAAATGGTTCGCCAATAATTTTTTGCCGCTTAAAAAATATTTTTGAATTCCCCGTTCAATTTAAAACAAATGACGTCTCTTGGATTGTTTTGCTTCGATGCGCCATTTTTGAGTGAAAAAATAAAAACCGTTCTACTGTCAAACTTGCAAAATTATTATTAATTTGATTGGAAAAATTAAACACATTAGGGGTAATGAATAACAACTGACAACATAAACATAACATTAAACCCATCGACATGATTATGATATGAATAGCTTTCTCGGACAGTAGAACGGTTTTTATTTTTTTATTCAAAAATGGCGCATCGAAGGAAAACAAGTAAAGTTAAAGCTAAACATTATTTTTGCATTGAAAAATATGCCACTTTATTAACTTCTACTATTTACTAAATATCAGTATAATATCTGAAGCGGTGCTGAAAATATTAATCAATTTCCATTTTTTTTCCTAAAACTTCAACACACCGAGTTTTTGTAAGGAAACATTTTATATTTACAATGTACACATAATATATTAGAAATAGCAGGGGGCCAAGTAGTGATCCCTGCGGTACCCCGTTGCAAATAGCAAAAGGTCAAAGGCGATGGCTTATATACTGCTTCCTATTTGACAAATACGCTAGAGTATTTTTGTATTTTGAAAAGTATATATGAACTAATTGAATGCTTCGGTTAAGCCACACATGGTAGCTATAGTATTATGTATTATCCAGTACTGCCTCTCGTGAAACCCTAGGTCAACTATACGGCCAATTCGACCCGATATCGTACGAATGGTTCGACGGAGTTGTGGCCACCGGTTTCCGGAACTTCGCGGTCGATCCGTGCCCCGACCGAAAATGGATCATTTTTGACGGTCCCGTCGACGCAGTCTGGATCGAGAACATGAACAGCGTACTGGACGACAACAAAAAACTCTGCTTGATGTCCGGCGAGGTCATGTCCATGACGAACTCCATGTCGCTCATCTTCGAAGTTATGGATCTTGAACAGGCTTCCCCTGCGACGGTACGACAGCTGCCTTTCAAAGATAGATTCTTCATTACCAAATATACAGGGTGTCCGCAAAGTTGGGGTTTTCCTTTTCAGAAACAACTACCCTTGAAATAACAAAGGTAATGTGTAGTGAAACGAGGGCGACCAAGTAAAAAAAAAAATAAAGGAAAAAGTACTCACTCTCCAGTTGACGAGAAGGGCTAAGTACGTCTCTGCCTGAAATCGAAAGTTATTCACCCTATTACGCGTGAGCGTAGATTCGTCTGTCACCAATATGCACTTCAAAAAGCCCGGATTATTGTCATGTTGATGCAACAACCACTCACAAAACCGCATTCTTACTGGAAAATCGTCAGGTTGAAGGGCTTGTACACGTTGGAAATTTGCCACACTTTAGTTTTTGATACTTGCACTTCTCTAGCCACGTCTATAGTGCTTGTTGAGGGATTCTCGTCTACGCGATTCAGTAGTTCTTCCTCAACTTGCACCATTCGTGGTTGTTTAGGCCTCCCACTGTGCCCACCTCGAAATTCCTCCAAATGGCCCGTATTCCTGACTCTCTGGACCAGCTACACAAATCTGCGGGGCCTTGGATGATGTCGTCTAGGAAAACGATCTGCATACACTCGCGACGATTCTGTAGCATTTTGAAGACATTCGCCATAAATTAACAACATATCAACGAGTTCATTATTGGTGTATGAGTGTGCCATTATTATTATTTTTTTTTAACGCAATCGATTATACGGGTTCGTTACCTCTATACGCGTGACCCTTTACCGTCGGTTGAAGGTTGCATACTGACCTGACACTGACCCAGACCCCCGACCCAGTTCTGTCGTCGGGTTCAGCTAGTAGCCGGTACCAGTCTTGAGATATCGCGGCGGGTCGCAGCTACAGGACGGTATTCAGATATTTTTGATGTTGCAGAGCCGTTTATTTCGGTTCCCTTAAGACATTGGTGTATATGGTACTAAGAAAAATTGCTTATGTTTTCAAGATCTACACGTCGTGTAAAGGGAAACCCCAACTTTGCGGACAACCTGTATAAGCAAGACTTAGCTTCAGCAAAAAATAATTATTATAAACAGAAAAGTAGGAATGTAAAGTCGTAAGTGAACTAAGAAGCAAACCTCCTTCTTCCACCAACATACCACCTGATGTACTGAATCATCATTACTGCATTAAAGCAGAAAAACTAAAGAATACAATTTCTCTATCGATTTTGTCTTTGACATTTCCAGGTATCTCGTTGTGGCATGATTTACATGGAGCCCGTCACTTTGGGCTGGCAGCCGTTTCTCGAGTCCTGGTTGCCCAGCCTGAGCGATGAATGGTGCGGTGAAGGTAGGGTCGACTTTGTCGTGGACATGTTCAACTGGATCGTGCCTCCATGTTTGACGTTTATCAGGAAGCATTGCGTCATGTATTGCAATCCCGGAGAAATCAGCCTGGTCAGAACTATGATGATGATGGTGCAAATGTTGTTGGACGATGCGACAGGTGGAAGTGTCAAGAAGGAAGAAGAGTCAAGGTATCTGGACGTATGGATCCAGGCAACATTCATACAAGCAGGTAAATCCACTTTTCATCTTTAAACTTCTCAGACAATAATCGAGAATTTGTTATTAGGAGTGTGGGGTCTCGGAGCAATCCTCGACACAGAATCCCGAACGAAATTCGACGAATACTACAAGCAACTGTGGAAAGGAATGTTGGAAGATCATCCGTATCCAAAAAGTATGGAAAAAATGGAAGTGCCCATCCCAACAGAGGGTCTGCTTATCGATTATTCGTACAACTACAGAATGAAAGGCAACTGGAAATATTGGCCGGATGTGGTCAAAAATGAAAGAGTGGATGAGTGCAAAAATATATTGCAGGCCTTGATACCTACTGCAGATACAGCGAGGTAAGACACAAGCTTTAGTATGTTTGATAAAACAAAAGTGGCGAAAAGTAAGTACAAAAATGAAAGGTTCTATAAGCAAGGCAAAAGGTGTTGACGTTGTATCAAGTAAAACAAGAATAAAAAATTGTAGGTATATGCAATTGATCGATATGCACATTCGTTACCAAAACCCGCTGCTGTTGATGGGTCCGACGGGCACTGGAAAGAGCTTCTACATCCAGGACATACTCATGAACCGACTCAATAAAGAAAAATACGAACCGTCCTTCATTACCTTCACCGTGAAAGTAACAGCCAACCAGACGCAGGACTTGGTCATATCCAAGTTGATCAAAAGGAAACGAGGTCACTACGGACCTCAGAAGGGCAAGGTACATTTTATATTTATACAGCGTGCTTTTCAAAATATAAAGTATGATTTTCAAGGTGGCAGTTTTATTCATCGACGACGTCAACATGCCAGCGAAAGAAATGTATGGAGCCCAACCGCCCATCGAGCTGTTGAGGCAATACTTTGACCACAAGAACTGGTACGACCTCAAATCGACGGATCCGATATACCTACACGAGGTGTTATTTTTGGGAGCCATGGGTCTGGTCGGAGGCAGTCGGCAGGAGGTCTATCCTCGCTTCCTGAGGCACTTCAATATTTTCTCTATCAACGAGTTCTCGGTGGAAAGCATGGCCAAGATATTCAGCAACATCCTGCATTTGGGATGGAAGAACAACGGGTTCCCCTCGGAGATCATTTCCGTTGTAACGCAAACCGTCAGCGCCAGCTTGGAGATATACAAATCGGCCATGGAAAATCTCAGGCCGACTCCGTCCAAGAGCCATTATGTCTTCAATTTGAGGGACTTCATGAGGTAATCTCATAATACGAGGTCAAGAGATAGTTATTGAAGAACTACAAAATCCATTCAGCAAACCGTGTCCATTCACCACATTTGCAAAACGTCTCCGCCATAATTTTAAAACGCATATCGGAACTTTGGACGTATACTAAGTGACATATAAATCCAAACACCCAGTTTAAATGGTTTTATTTTAATAAAAGTTGGTGAATCTATTTATCTTACTGTCAATAACAAGTGAAAAAATGTTCAGCCTTATCAGTTGGACATTCCGGTTTTTATACTGCTTTTTTTAATTCACTAACGCTCTAAAAATGAATATTTCAGCCGCAGTAAAGAATCAACGTTGGCGGATTTTGGTTCTTGACATCCTTTACGATCGGTTACGATGCCTAGAGTACGGAGACCTGTACGATTTCGTCAACTTAGTGACTTTGATAGGGGCCGTATAGTGGGACTTCGGGAAGCTGGACTTTCTTTTCGGGTAATTGCAGTTACAGTGCAAAGAAGTGTAGACACTGTGGTTAGGTGTTGTCAGGCATGGCTTCGAGAAGGCCGTATGCAAAGAGCAAGGGGCACTGGACGCCGCCGTAGAACAACAGACCATGAAGATCGCCGCCTAAGATTATTGGCTTTAAGGGACCGTTTTTCCACTACCAGGTCCATTGCAAATGAATGGTTTTCAGAACACGGAAGACCTATTGGCATGCGAAGTGTTTACCGAGGAATGAGAAGTTTTGGCTTGTTTTCATACCGGCCACACTGGGTCCTCCCTTTAACTCGAGAACACCGACGTAATCGCCTTGAGTGGTGCAGACAACGGTCACTCTGGGATCAGGAATGGAACAGTATTGTCTTTAGTGACGAGACTCGATTTTGTTTAGGCATGCACGATGGTCGTGCCAGGGTTAGAAGGCAACGTGGTGAAAGGAGGAATCCACAGTTTTTTGTTGAAAGACATGTTCATCACACTGTTGGAGTTATGGTTTGGGGTGCTATAGATTATGGTTCCAGGTCACCTTTAATCTTCATCAGAGGTAACATGAACGCGCAGCGTTATATCCACGAAGTTCTAGAACCCCGTCTTTTACCCTATCTTGACACCCTGGCAGATCCAACTTTCCAACAAGATAATGCCCGACCACATGTTGCAAGAGTCACAATAGACTTCTTTCAACATAATGATGTCACATTGTTACCATGGCCACCAAGATCTCGCGACTTATCCCCAATTGAGCACGTGTGGGATATGATGGGTAGGAGATTGCTCAATTTGCAACGTCCTCCTCAGACTCTAGAACACATCAGGGTGCATCCACACATTATTAAAGGTCAAAGGACTTTAAAGCAGTGCAATCATTTTGAAATTTTTATCATTTACTTATTATGCTTCATTAAGTACTTATACAAAATTTTATTAAAATAAAACCATTTAAACTGGGTGTTCGGATTTATATGTCACATAGTATATTTGCCACGGTTATATGTTCGAACTTGCCTTTCAACGTGCTTTCTTTGTAGCTATTGTACATGAAACCCTTGTTTTCTAGATTAATTCAGGGATGTACAATGTTACGAAAGGAGTCGGCAGAAAGTAAGAAAACGTTTGTAAAAATATGGGTGCACGAGGTTCTCAGAGTATTCTACGACAGGTTGATAGAAGAAAAGGACAAGGACTGGTTGTTTGATGAAATGAAGGCGGTTACCAAGAATAATTTTAGGGAGTACTTTGAGCAAGTATTCGATAATTTTCCAAAGAACCAGGATGGTAGGTAACAGTTCAAGAATATCGCTTAGCTGGGTCATATGCGCTTGAATTCGTAATGTGCTTTGAGGAATCAAGGTCCGTGTATCTGCTTCAGGTTTGATCGAAAGAGACCAAATGAAAAACCTGATGTTCGGCACATACTTCGACCAAGACTCTGAAGAAGACCAACGCCGTTACGAACAAGTGATCAGCAAGGAACAGCTTTACGAAACGGCCAACAATTGCCTAACAGAGTACAATTCCACGCACAAAACCAAAATGGATATAATGCTGTTCGATTATGCCCTAGAACATCTGTCGAAGATATGCAGAGTGCTGTCCATGACTTGCGGAAGCGCTCTTCTGGTAACTTAAGTTCTAAGCGTCCCTTAAGGCTAAGTGTAATTATTAAAAATCCTTTGATACTCGTTCAGGTCGGCATAAGCGGTTCGGGTAGACAATCCCTAACTCGACTGGCAGGCGAAATATACGGTCAAAAACTTTTCCAACCAGAGATCACAAACAACTACTCGATCAACGATTGGAGAGACGACATCAAGAAGATTCTGAAAGAAGCAGGCGGTAGAGGCAGACACACCATCTTCCTGATCGCCGAGGGTCAGATCAAGGAAGAAAGCTATCTGCAGGACGTCGATTGTCTGTTGAACGCTGGAGAGGTGCCAAACATTTACCAGATCGATGAGAAGCAGGAGATTTTAGATATGGTCAGACTGGCAGCACAAGGTGACGATAGCAAAGTTATCTAGAAATAACATAAAATATATCAACAGCAGAAGTTTGTTAAAGAACAAATGGATCCAGATTTTAATTTGCTAAGCATTTATCTAGTGTCGTTAGTTCAAATGTACCACGGACTAATTCAAATGTAACGTGTCGTAGTTCGAATGTATCTTAGAGTAGTTCAAATGTAACACGCAGTAGTTTTCAGATGGATACTGAAATTGAAATGTAACATACAGTAGTTGAAATGTACCGCTGAGTAATTCAAATGTTCAGTAGAGTAGTTCAAATGTAACATGAGGTACTTCAAATATACAATAGAGTAGTTCAAATCTAACTTGAAGTAGTTCAAATGTGACACGCAGTAGTTCAAATATAACACCCAGTAGGTCGATTACGTTAAGCAGTTCAAATTTCACATTTTTTCTCAAATTATAGCTGGATTGTTAACTGACAATAAATTCCTTCTGAGTCTATGACCCTCCTCCAATTCTCAGTAACCACCTGGAAAGCCGTGTTTGCGGAATATTTTTTGCGAAAGCCTGCTCTCGCGTTTCCTCTAAAATTTTGTGCTTCAGGTGGCAACCGAAATCTAGATATAAGCGCACTCGAAGTATTCTTTTTCTTCACGAAGCGCTGCAAGGAGAAACTGCACATCGTTCTGTGCTTCAGTCCTGTAGGATCCAGTTTCACGAACAGATTACGACTGTACCCGTCGTTGATAAACTGTTGTACGATAGACTGGTTCGAAAGTTGGCCAGAAGAGGCGCTCGAAGAAGTCGCTCTTAAGTGGATGGAGGGAGTAAACCTGTCAGGTAGACACACTCATTTATATCCGACACTTGAATATCAAGTCCACTCGAGAAAAAGTTACTTATGTTTGTAACATTTTATTAACTACGAGCCCATTCCCACTTCAATTGGCCCACTTCAAGATTTGTACCAAAATATGCCTTTATAAGCTAAACAAGACGAAACTATACTAAGTGACATATAAATCCGAACACCCAGTTTAAATGGTTTTATTTTAATAAAAGTTGGTGAATGTATTTATCTTACTGTAAATAACAAGTGAAAAAATGTTCAGCCTTATCAGTTGGACATTCCGGTTTTTATACTGCTTTTTTTTAATTCACCAACGCTCTAAAAATGAATATTCCAGCCGCAGTAAAGAATCAACGTTGGCGGATTTTGGTTCTTGACATCCTTTACGATCGGTTACGATGCCTAAAGTACGGAGACCTGTACGATTTCGTCAACTTAGTGAGTTTGATAGGGGCCGTATAGTGGGACTTCGGGAAGCTGGACTTTCTTTTCGGGCAATTGCAGTTAGAGTGGAAAGAAGTGTAGACACTGTGGTTAGGTGTTGTCAGGCATGGCTTCGAGAAGGCCGTACGCAAAGAGCAAGGGGCACTGGACGCCGCCGTAGAACAACAGATCGTGAAGATCGCCGCCTAAGATTATTGGCCTTAATGGACCGTTTCTCCACTACCAGGTCCATTGCAAATGAATGGTTTGCAGAACACGGAAGACCTATTGGCATGCGAAGTGTTTACCGACGAATGAGAAGTTTTGGCTTGTTTTCATACCGGCCACACTGGGTCCTCCCTTTAACTCGAGAACACTGACGTAATCGCCTTGAGTGGTGCAGACAACGGTCACTCTGCGATCAGGAATGGAACAGTATTGTCTTTAGTGACGAGTCTCGATTTTGTTTAGGCATGCACGATGGTCGTGCCAGGGTTAGAAGGCGACGTGGTGGAAGGAGGAATCCACAGTTTTTTGTTGAAAGACATGTTCATCACACTGTGGGAGTTATGGTTTGGGGTGCTATAGCTTATGGTTCCAGGTCACCTTGAATCTTCATCAGAGGTAAAATGAACGCGCAGCGTTTATCCACGAAGTTCTAGAACCCCATCTTTTACCCTATCTTGACACCCTGGCAGATCCAACTCTCCAACAAGATAATGCCCGACCACATGTTGCAAGAGTCACAATAGACTTCTTTCAACATAATGATGTCACATTGTTACCATGGCCACCAAGATCTCCCGACTTATCCCCAATTGAGCACGTGTGGGATATGATGGGTAGGAGATTGCTCAATTTGCAACGTCCTCCTCAGACTCTAGAAGCACTTCGAGAGGAGTTGGTGGTTGCCTGGAATGAGATACCACAGGAGGACATTGACCACCTGATCAGAAGCATGCGTAGGCGCGTTGGAGAATGCGTAGCACATCAGGGTGCATCCACACATTATTAAAGGTCAAAGGGCTTTAAAGCAGTGCAATCATTTTGAAATTTTTATCATTTACTTATTATGCTTCATTAAGTACTTATACAAAATTTTATTGAAATAAAACCATTTAAACTGGGTATTCGGATTTATATGTTATTAAAATATTCATTGTTAATAATTTAAACCTATAACACCCTGCTACATTTTTTTTATTTGTGTTTGATAAGAAAAAAACTAAGATTTCAATAGTTGGGCCAACTGAAGTGGGAAGGGGCTCGTATATCTTTGAATGCTTTGTTTACAATTAGTAACTAGGTAACTAATTAGAGCCCTAGTAGGCCTTTGATCAAGAGATTAAATTGGTTGGTTATCTATATTTCTCAAGTATATCATTAGAATTAGAAAATTTCGAGTTATGCTTTTATTACAGACGAAATCAAGGGCTATGCAGTGGAGGCTTGCAAATACTTCCACGTCGAAGCGAGGATGAACTCGGAAAAATTCTTCAATAGCTTCAACAGAAAGACTTACATAACTTCCGCGTCATATTTGGAATTAATAAAGTCGTTTTCTGAATTAACCAACATGAAACAGAACGAAATAATGGCTGCCAAAAAGAGATATCTCGGCGGTTTGGAAAAATTATATCATGCTTCCGTAAGCATTGGTGAGTAACCGGATAGATAAAACAGCTCAGAAGTCTTTGAAGCATTTTCTTTTTAATTCTGCCAAATTTTTCTAGGCGAAATGCAGGACTCGTTGGCGAAACTACAACCGGAATTGCAAAAAATGAGCGCGCAAGCGACACAAATGATGAAAGACATCGAGAGAGAAACGACCACCGTGGAAAAAACTTCGGCAAGGGTGAAAGAGGACGAGAAAGCGGCGAACAAGCAGGCCGCCGTCGCGCAAGCGTTAAAAAAGGAATGCGAAGCCGATTTAATGGAAGCGATGCCCGCATTAAACGAAGCCTTGGCTGCTTTGGACACCTTGAAGCCATCTGATATCGTTTTGGTCAAGTCGATGAAAAATCCACCCGACACCGTGAAGCTCGTTATGGCTGCCGTGTGCATCATCAAAGGCATCAAACCAGATCGAATTCCTGACCCTTCGACCGGAAGGATGACGTTAGATTATTGGGGACCGAGCAAGAAACTTCTAGGCGACATGACCTTCTTACAAGGACTGAAGGAGTTCGACAAGGACAACATCAAAATCGACTACATGCAAAAGCTGAGGAAAGAGTACATTCCGCATAAAGATTTCAAGCCGAACATCGTGGCCAAAGCTTCGAGCGCCGCGGAGGGACTTTGCAAATGGATCATCGCGATGGACATGTACGACAAAGTGAACAGGGTTGTTGCGCCGAAAAAGGCTGCGCTGCAGAAAGCGCAAAACGAACTAGCGCAGACTGAAAAGTTGCTCGACGAAAAGCGAGCGGTTGTGGCGAAACTGGAAGCGCAGTTGGCAGAGTTGAACGAACGATTATCGGACGCCGTTCAGAAGCAGTCTGATCTTCAGGACGCCGTCGATCTTTGCAATAACAAATTGATCAGAGCTCAGAAACTGATCGGCGGTTTGGGCGGAGAAAAAAACCGATGGACCGCCGCTGCGGAAGCGTTGCAGATCCAGTATGACGGCCTGGCCGGAGACATCCTCCTTTCGTGCGGGATCATTTCGTACTTGTCGCCTTTCAATAGCCTTTATAGGCAGACGATCACCGCAGATTGGCACAAATACGTGAAGAACCTCGAGATACCCGGCGCGGATCATTTCGAAATGGTCAACTCGCTGGGATCGGATGTTCAGATACAAAACTGGTACATCAGCGGTTTGCCCAGGGACTCGTTCTCTACTGATAATGGGATCATCATGGATAACTCCAGGAGGTTAGTAGGATGTTTCAAATTGCTACGTCCGTATTTTACTCGTATTTATACAGGGTGTCCGCAAAGTTGGGGTTTTCCTTTACACGACGTGTAGATCTTGAAAACATAAGCAATTTTTCTTAGTACCATATACACCAATGTCTTAAGGGAACCGAGATAAAGGGCTGTGCAACATCAAAAATATCTGAATACCGTCCTGTAGCCGCGACCCGCGACATCACCGAGTGGTACAAGGTCACTGGCTCAACCCGACGACGCGTGTAGAGGTAATCGCGTAGACGAGAATCCCTCAACAAGCACTAGAGACGCGGCTAGAGAAGTGCAAGTATCAAAAACTAAAGTGTGGCAAACGCTGCGTGAAGAGGGGCTGTATCCGTTTCACGTCCAACGTGTACAAGCCCTTCAACCTGACGATTTTCCAGCAAGAGTGCGGTTTTGTGAGTGGTTGTTGCATCCACATGACAATAATCCGGACTTTTTGAAGTGCATATTGGTGACAGACGAATCTACTTTTACGCGTAATCGGGTGAATAACTTTCGCAATACTCATGTTTGGTCAGTAGAAAATCCGCACGCTGTCCGTCTGGCACATTTTCAACAAACATTTTCGGTGAATGTTTGGGCTGGCATGGTGAACGGTATGCTCATTGGACCATTTATTCTCCCAAATCGATTGGACGGGATGCAATACCTAGACTTTTTACGCAACATTTTGCCTTCCTTGTTAGAAGATGTGCCATTAAGTGTAAGACAATCAATGTGGTTTCTGCACGATTGTGCACCCCCCATTTTTAGACGCGAAGTGCGTGAGTTTTTGAATGAATTATTTCTGAATAGGTGGATTGGACGTAATGGACCCGTAGCGTGGCCTCCGCGATCTCCAGACTTAACACCATGTGATTCTTTTCTTTGGGGAGAAATGAAACGCTTAGTGTATAAAACTGAAGTGTTGACGAACTTCGTCTCAAAATTGAACAAGCTGGTGTTTTCATTCGGGGGAGGGACTCCATTCTCAAAACCAGCACCGATGCTTGGCTACGTCGTGCACACACCTGTGTTTTTGAATCAAACGGCGATAACTTCGAAAGTACGTTAACCTAAAAACTGAAAACGCGGCAACGCCGTCATATTTGTTACCTCTGTTCGTGGTCTGCACCACCGCCAGCGTCTGCTCGGTAGCGCATCAGCTGATTTCATTTTCTGTTGGAGCGGTATGATTTCGGGCAGAGACGTACTTAGCCCTTCTCGTCAACTGGAGAGTGAGTACTTTTTCCTTTATTTTTTTTTACTTGGTCGCCCTCGTTTCACTACACATTACCTTTGTTATTTCAAGGGTAGTTGTTTCTGAAAAGGAAAACCCCAACTTTGCGGACACCCCGTATTTGTTAAAAGAGGACCAATTGTTCTTCAGTTTATAAACCATAATTCCCCATGTTTATCTGGCCGAATTAAACCACATATGCTTAGGATCCTTTTTTTCTCATGAGTGACCTTCAGGAACAATTCAGGCATTACAGTATTTCAGGTGGTCGCTCTTCATTGATCCTCAATGTCAAGCAAGCAACTGGATCAAAAAAATGGAGAAGAAAAACAATCTGGAGATAGTAAAATTCTCCTACTCAGACTACATGAAGAAAATCGAGATTTGCGTCCAACAAGGATATCCGGTAATCGATTAGAAATAAAATTTCCATATGGAAATAATGCGCTGAAATTTTACACTAATTTACCTGTAGGGGCCGTTCAAATATTACGTGAGCACTATGGGGGGCGGGGGGGTCTTTGCTTTGCTTATTTTGGATGACATGGATGGTAGGGGAGTCTAGATGATGATTACGTCATCGGTAGTTGTTTACCTTTTTACACGAATGACAACCCTCACATTGTCTTTGCTTGAAAACAAAACGCATTTTCGGGGATTCCCGCAAATAATGCATACGTTTAGTGAACAGCGCGCGGTAATTCCCCTACTCGCTTTAGAACCGAGTAGGGGAATTACCGCTGGAAGAAGCTAACTAATGAAGTGATGTGCATTATTCAAAATTTACAGCACCATGATGTTGAATTGCTCGATAAGAACGACGTAGACATTCCAAAATCGGATGAAAGCGAGCAAACTCATAACACTGAGCAGCAATCGAAGCAATCCAATGTCATCGAAGACTTAGAATCATGGATTCGGTTTTCATGGACTGAAGACTGTTAATTTGTATTTAATATATGTACCAAAAATTTAAAATAAGTTTGTTATGTTAGTAAGATATAATATTTTTGTCCTTTACTCTATGTTGAATACTGTATCACTAAAATATAACCTCTATCCTAAATCAATTTTCTTATTTTTCAAAATATAATTATAACGCTATAATTATAATATTTAAAAAAAACAATACATTAATTGACAAATGTTTACGTAAGCATGGTGGGAGGGGGCAAGACCTTTGCTTACTTTTGCTGACAAGGGGGATGGGGGGTAAATAATTGTAATAAATCTGCTTACGTAATACTTGAACGACCCCTAATACAACTTTATGACTATCTGTCCTGGACTATCGCGTTTCGCGTTTCTTTTATCTTAATCTTCTTTAACATGACTAGGTATTGCTAGAAAGTGTTGGTGAAGAATTGGAAGCACCGTTGGACCCTCTCCTGTTCAAAAAAACCTTCAAGCAGGCAGGCATGGAAGTGATCAGTGTCGGGGAGAATGTGATAGAATATAACAAGAACTTTAGACTATATCTTACGTCGAAATTGAGGAACCCGCATTATTTGCCTGAGGTGTTCAACCGAGTCACCATCATCAATATGGCGTTGACGTTAGAGGGACTGCAGGACCAACTGCTAGGTATTCCATGTTCTCGACGACACATATTTTTTTCATATCTAGGTTTAACAACTTGTTGAGAAAATTATCACGAGGAGTACAAGACAAGAGTGTGGTTCGCTTTCAGGTATCGTGGTGGCAGTAGAAAAACCGGACCTTCAGCAGCTGAAAGAAGACTTGATCGTCCAGAAGGCAGAAAATAAAAAAGCGTTACAAGAAACAGAAGAGAACATTTTAAAGACTTTGTCCGAATCGAAAGGAGACATCCTGGAAGATGAATCAGCTATAAGGATATTAGATGAATCGAAAGTGTTGTCTATCGAGATTAGAGAGAAGCAAGTGAAGTCTTTCGAGATAGAAAAGTCTATCGAGGAGTTCAGAATCAAGTACCAAGGAGTTTCTGAACACTCTGCGGTACTTTATTATTGCATTTCGGATTTGGCAAATGTAGATCCTATGTACCAATACTCATTAGAATGGTAAATAGAAACATAACACGGTGCCGTAAGATCTTTTATCTTTCTGAATAACCGTAATTTGTCTTCCAGGTTCATCAATTTGTATATCAGTTCTATCCAAAGGGCTGAAAAGTTCAGGAGCATCGAGAAAAGATGTCAGAGTCTGATAAATGCATTCACGTACGATCTTTATAACAACATAACGAGATCCTTGTTCGAGAAAGACAAGTTGTTGTTTTCGTTTCTTTTATGTTCGAAAATTATGATTTCGCAAAACAAGTTGGATGAGAAAGAGTTCATGTTCCTTTTGACTGGTGAGATTATTGGAGTATTTTTTTAGTGCACTGGACCTCCGGTAATCCGACAAACATTATGCAGGGCAGTGTCGGACTATCGAATTTGTCGGATTATAGAGCACTGCCTAAGATTTTTTTCAAAAGAGTACCTTGTAATCTGACAAATTACATATCCAATTGTAAGATTATATACGTTATGTATATGTATGTACTTTCAAGTACAAATCATACATAGTTTATGTATGTCGAATTTAGTAAATTATATAACAATAGAGAGCTTACGTTTTATTATAAAATTAAGCATAAATGCATATACATATGTACCACAATAATCAAGAATTATTCATCAAAATCATTAATAGATTTATCAAATTATGAAGCTTGGAAATATTCATCAATTTTTTTTGTTTAAGGTTGTTATAACGCGAGATCAGAGCTTTGTCCCTCAGTCTTCTCAAAAGTAAAAGTTCGTTGTAGGATGTACCATTCTCTTCAGCCCATTGTAAACCTAGCTCAAAGGCGTTAATTGCGTCTTGTGCTGTGACTTGTGGAGCAGTTGCAATCACGTCGTCGTTATTTTCCTGATTGTTTGTTGTATAATTAGAAACCTCTTTTATAATCTCTTCGTCAGACATTTCATGAAAAACATTCTCCTCTTTATCGATTCCACGGCACCAGATTTACAAATCTTCCGGACTTATCTGTGTTTCAGTAGCGACTTGTTCTGTAACTTCCGAAGTAACAGTGATTTATGGAACGTTGCTAGGAGTGGTGACTATATCCGGCCATAACTTTTTCCAAGACGATTTAATAGTTGATGACGGTAACGCATTCCACGACTGACAAAGAGCAAAAACCAAGTGTTTCATATTAAATTCTTTTTTTCTATTGGTTGGTCTTTTGATGCGGCTCTCAGAAGTAGGTTTTTCTTATAGCCTCGCTTGATAAACTGAATGATATTCTGGTCCATTGGTTGAATCAGTGCAGTGCAATTTGGCGAAAGAAACCTGTTGGAATACATATTCAAAGACATGTCGGATTACAGGGGGCGCCGGATTAGACAGGGGCCGGATTATCGGGGGTCCACAGTATATTGATCGCCCTACTTGATATTAACAAAACATTGCAGGTGGTGTGAATGTGGAGAGCACAGTCGCAAACCCGTGTTCAGATTGGCTGCCGCTCAGTTCATGGGAAGAGATTTGTAGAGCTGAACAATTGCCGGCATTCGACGGTTTTGCAAAAATGTTCAAAAGTCAAGAGAAACATTGGAAAGAAATCTACGATGACTTTGACGACGATTTTGTAATGCCTGATCCGTGGAAGGACAATTTAGTTTCGTTCAGGAGACTGATCGTAATACGACTGTTGAGACCTGACAAACTAATCACGTCCGTGACATTATTTGTCACTAACGAAATGGATGACAGGTTCGCAGATGAATATTATAGACGGTACTTTCGGATGCAGCGTTTTTTTCTTTTAGGTTCATAAGGCCTCCCCCTTTCAACATATCAGTTTCGTACGACGAATCGTACTCTTTGTGCCCGTTGATTTTCATCTTGTCCCCAGGACAAGACCCGATGGCAGCACTCGTCAGATTCGCTGAAGAAAAAAAGATGACAGACAGGTTCAGATCTATCTCGTTAGGACAAGGTACGGTTCATAAAAGTCGGAGTGTGGAGACACCCTAGCGACAAAGGAACGGTCATATCTGGATGAATAACTTAAAATATTCTCTAAGGTCAAGGTCCGATGGCGCAAGCGCTGATCGACGAAGGCCAAGATGGTGGTCTATGGGTATGTCTCCAGAACTGTCATCTGGCAACTTCTTGGATGCCCAGCTTGGAGAAGATCTTCGAAAATCTGGACTATGCTAATACGCACGATCAGTTTCGTCTCTGGCTGACTAGTTACCCGTCTGCTAAGTTTCCTGTCACCCTTCTACAGGTAACGGTGCTGAATTTTGAATAATGTTCAAGGAAAAAATGATCGATTCTTAATAATAAATGAGAAAAATGATTTCTTAGAAAGGAGTAAAGATGACAAACGAAGCTCCGACTGGTCTGCAAAACAATCTGTTGAAATCTTACGTCAGCGACCCGGTGAAGAATCCGGAATTTTACGAGGGCTGTCCGGATCATGAAGAAATGTTCGTCAAGCTACTGTACGGTCTGGCATTCTTTCATGCTTGCGTACAAGAACGTAGAACGTTTGGACCACTCGGATGGAATATTCCATACGGTAATACCATTTTGTATTTATTTTCAAAATGACCTGCATCCAGAGCCAACACCAACCAAATTTTCCACACAGTCACTACTACATAAGAACTATATACGATCAAATCATCTTTCATCACCATTAGATGGATTAGTTGGTCCGTACAAGGAAATTTACAGCTGACAATTATCATATCGGTGGATCTGAATATAATTTTCATAATATTTTGCGCCTCCTTTACACAAAATCACTTAAAACGGATGAATACGAAGCGCATGTGAGGTACCGTTCACAAATGATATAACCGAATTTATGAATTTTCAATTTTGTTTCTAAAGAATTTTGTGCGATGTGAGGAGCTCGCCAGCCGTCGCGGAACGACCGACGAACGCTGCAACAGCGCAATTGTGCACCAGTTATGAATATTTCAGGAGATATGCTACTTTTCTCAATGTTGCAGTAAAAAATGCTCGTTTATAAATGTACAATCAAGGAGCTTGAGCATTTAATTAATGAAACGAAACTACGGATTTTATTTTCTTGCCTGTCATAGAAGAAAGCAATTCTATTTAACTGAGATGTCGTTACTCGAACTCGAAACATTTTTCATTTTAGATACAGCAACTCTTATCTTTAAAAATAAGTCTGAGCTTGAAACATTAAATATAAGATACAATATGAGACGTAAACAAGATCTTGAGTTAGTAGTTAGATCAAAATTTGTGAAGGACTCGATAATTTATGGTGTGTCATGAGCCGTCCTCATGCTATCAGGAGAAGACACAATTTAAATTGATTTCGCCGTGAACTTAAAAACCTTATAATATGTAAACAATATTATACCATGTGTGAATTCTACAGTTCACCTACTCAAGATCCACATAAGTAATTATGTTATAGTTTAGTTTTAAGTTGGCTTTATCGTTAAGAACGATTGTATTCTTCAGACAATAACGAAACAAGACAGTTAGCGTGTTTGTACCGACTGCCTCGGAAGGGGAGTATGTATGTGTACAAAAAATTCTCATTTGTTCGTTCCTTATGATTTTCTCTATTTCTCATCAGGATTTAACGATTCCGACTTTGACATTTCCGTTCAGCAATTGCAAATGTTCATCAACGAGAACGACGATCCGTACGAAGCGCTGTCCTATTTGATCGGCGAATGCAACTACGGGGGTAGAGTGACGGACGATTGGGATAGAAGGCTTATTGTCACCATTTTGGCGGACTATTTGAGCCCTACTGTCGTCTCACAGAAGAATTACACGTTCAGCAATGCCGGAGATTGCTACGGACTCCCGGAGAAGAACGAGTATGCCGTTTATATAGGTCAGATTGTTTCAAGTCTTACATTCTTTTAGTCAGTGTATCAGTCTGCGAGTATCGCTATCCGAAAATGCGTCAAACAAGAAAGAAAAACGTAGAAAACAGGGAGTAAAGAGAATGATAAAATCGGGAAACTGGTAGGAAATTACATCGAAATTGAAATCAAATCGAAATGAGGGTGAGATTTTGTCAAAAAGGGTGCTTATAGAATGTTTTGATATTATTGGGGCAAACATATTAATCCTATGAAATATACCAAGTGACATATAAATCCGAACACCCAGTTTAAATGGTTTTATTTTAATAAAATTTTGTATAAGTACTTAATGAAGCATAATAAGTAAATGATAAAAATTTCAAAATGATTGCACTGCTTTAAAGCCATTTGACCTTTAATAATGTGTGGATGCACCCTGATATGCTACGCATTCTCCGAGGCGCCTAGGCATGCTTCTGATCAGGTGGTCAATGTCCTCCTGTGGTATCTCATTCCAGGCAACCACCAACTCCTCTCGAAGTGCTTCTAGAGTCTGAGGAGGACGTTGCAAATTGAGCAATCTCCTACCCATCATATCCCACACGTGCTCAATTGGGGATAAGTCGGGAGATCTTGGTGGCCATGGTAACAATGTGACATCATTATGTTGAAAGAAGTCTATTGTGACTCTTGCAACATGTGGTCGGGCATTATCTTGTTGGAAAGTTGGATCTGCCACGGTGTCAAGATAGGGTAAAAGATGGGGTTCTAGAACTTCGTGGATATAACGCTGCGCGTTCATGTTACCTCTGATGAAGATTAAAGGTGACCTGGAACCATAAGCTATAGCACCCCAAACCATAACTCCAACAGTGTGATGAACATGTCTTTCAACAAAAAACTGTGGATTCCTCCTTTCACCACATCGCCTTCTAACCCTGGCACGACCATCGTGCATGCCTAAACAAAATCGAGACTCGTCACTAAAGACAATACTGTTCCATTCCTGATCCCAGAGGACCCAGTGTGGCCGGTATGAAAACAAGCCAATATTTCTCATTCGTCGGTAAACACTTCGCATGCCAATAGGTCTTCCGTGTTCTGCAAACCATTCATTTGCAATGGACCTGGTAGTGGAGAAACGGTCTCTTAAGGCCAATAATCTTAGGCGGCGATCTTCACGGTCTGTTGTTCTACGGCGGCGTCCAGTGCCCCTTGCTCTTTGCGTACGGCCTTCTCGAAGCCATGCCAGACAACACCTAACCACAGTGTCTACACTTCTTTGCACTCTAACTGCAATTGCCCGAAAAGAAAGTCCAGCTTCCCGAACTCTCACTATACGGCCCCTATCAAACTCACTAAGTTGACGAAATCGTACAGGTCTCCGTACTCTAGGCATCGTAACCGATCGTAAAGGATGTCAAGGTCCAAAATCCGCCAACGTTGATACTTTACTGCGGCTGAAATATTCATTTTTAGAGCGTTAGTGAATTAAAAAAAAGCAGTATAAAAACCGGAATGTCCAACTGATAAGGCTGAAAATTTTTTCACTTGTTATTTACAGTAAGATAAATACATTCACCAACTTTTATTAAAATAAAACCATTTAAACTGGGTGTTCGGATTTATATGTCACTTAGTATATGTTGTAATTGCAACATGTGTTATTTTTATGCTGCAAATTTGATTAGGGAGTGATAAAGGTGGTGTTTTCTACTATATATTATCAAAATATTCATTGTTAATATTTTAAACCTATAACACCCCGCTACATTTTTATTATTTGTGTTTGATAAGAAAAAAACTAAGATTTCAATAGTTGGGCCAACTGAAGTGGGAAGGGGCTCGTAATCGTTTTAGTTTTTTAAAAGATTGTGTTCGTAGCAATCATACTAAATAAATCTTAAACAAACAAACAAACTGTGTTCGTTTGTTGATAAGATCTCCTCCAAATTGCAGCCCACATTAACGCCTTGCCTGGCGTGCACCCTCCTGAAGTTTTCGGTCTGCACACGAACGCAGGCATCACCAGGGACCTGCAGAACTCGAAGCAACTCCTGAACTCCGTGCTGAAGGCGTACGGTGAAGTATCGGCGGGAGGCGCCGCAGGAACGGACAAATTCATCACGACTCTTTGCTCAGACATGGTTAGATTTTGATCGTTCCGCTTTTTTGTTGTCAAAAAGTTCATAAAAGGAAAGATGACGATTAAAGCTGTTTATGTGTGGTTATAATGGTATAGGTGTCCAGGCTACCGAAAAAGTTCGATCTGGATGTGGCCCACGCGAAGTACCCTGTGGAATACTCGGAATCGATGAACACGGTGCTGGTGCAAGAGATGGAGAGATTCAACAAGTTGTTGGGGGTCATCGCGAGTTCCTTGGTCAATATGCAGAGAGCTATACAAGGTGAGGCAAGCAGAACGAGAATGGTAACATCCCTTAATGAAAATAAAACAAAACATAGTTGAAACAGTACGTACGTACAAAGATATCTCAAAAAGTTCCTATAAACATGGACAACCACGGACAAGTGTTTCGTGCTTCTTGGCTAGTCATCAGTCACTACGGTCTAGGCTTGGTTTCTTGTCTCTGGACAAACGCACGAAAGCATCGCAACTATCATCTACCCCGGTGATATGATCTGTCGAATTAAGACATTAACTGTTAGTCGGAACTTTACAGCCAGAATCGTCAGGCATCTAGCAGTGATCGATTCTGGCGCGACAGAGGGCGCTTTGCGCTGTCTCGTTTATGGATTTTAAAGTTCACAATTTGGTGTCGGACTTGTTATTCTTTCATTCAAGGCTTAGTGGCGATGTCTCCAGCTCTAGAAGCGTTCGCGGCGTCATTGCTTCTAGCTAGAATCCCTTCAAATTGGGCCAGCGTATCTTATCCCAGTCTGAAGAACTTGCCAAGCTACATGGCTGACTTTTTGGCTCGCATACAATTCTTACAATCTTGGTTCGACGAGGGAAAACCTGTCAACTACTGGGTGTCCGGATTCTTCTTCACGCAAGCTTTTTTGACAGGAGTCAAACAGAATTTTGCGAGGTTTGTTTAAAGTTCATTTAGCTACAATGTCAATTTTGTGTAATTATTCGTTTACACATTTTTTGAACAAATTTCCGGTAATTTTACATTCTTGTCTATTACAATTATATCACCATGCATTTTGTGATTCTTTAATTTCACCTTTAACATTTTTAAATTGAGTTTAGTATTATTATACAGGGTGGCGCATCGAAAACGCTCAGTTTTTTTTAAAACGCTCGGTTATGATAATGATTAGTTAATTTTGTAAGTTTTCTAAATGTGGTGATAATAAATGATTTTTTAACTTGAATATGAAAATGAGAACTAACTAATATTTAAAAATATTTACATCCAACCACTATAGTCCTTCTAACATAGAAGCATATTTGTTTTTATTCAAAATGATTCGCGTAGCTTTATTTTTTAGAATTTTGGTAATTAAGAAAATACGTTTACATTCGCTGAACAATATAAAAAATGAGGAAGAACTACAGTAACACCATGAAAATAGAATCAGAATTAAGAAATAAACGACACTTTTATTTCGGTATTCTCAGAAAGTACGCGATCCCCATTGACAAGTTGACGTTTGACTTCGAGATCATGAGGCAAGATCGGATGAATGATGCGCCTGAGGATGGGACGTATTTGTACGGACTGTTCACAGATGGCGCCAGGTGGGACCGCGGAAAAGGGAGACTAGCGGAGCTGCTGCCGAAAGTATTGTACGATATCATGCCTATAATATGGATCAAGCCCATCACTTCTGCAGAATATAAAGTTGGTGAGTACCGAATGGATCTATGATATCGTGCGTGCTTTTGTTGTTTTGGACATAGGGCTAAATTAAGGGAATTTATTTCACAATATTACCATAAGCTTAATATACTAAACTGATTTTTGACAAAAATGAACTTGACCTAGTCTGGCTCTGGGGTACAGATAGATAATTGTAAGGGTGTGATATACAGGGTGACTTCGAAGTTGAGTCATTTATTTTAACAGTGAGTAGATCTGATCAAAAGAAATGTTTTTTTCCTTTACCATTTTTCTGGTGAAATTAAAGTAACAAAGTTATAGCCCTTTGGAAGTTTGAGTACCGCCCTGTCTCAATAATAATATTATGCGCTCGTGTTTGGCAACAACAGATATAATCCGCCTTATCGGTTCATCGCATCGGAAACAAAAAAGCGAAAGAATTTGGAACGATGTTAGGTATCACTCGACCCCACTTTCCATTTAAGATTTTAGGGTTGGTGTTACCCCCGCCCAGGGGGCTGCACGTGTTAACGTGATTTTTTGCCAAACTTGCGTCCCCCTCGAAAACAAAATCGACGAGTCTGAGCGTTTTTCCAAAAAAAACACTGAGCTGCCGGTAAATGCGTCTGTTTCGTTTTCGATGCGCCACCCTCTATGTACCTGCATTGATTTTTATAGGTGCCCGTTACGTGAGTCCTGTGTATAAAACTTCCGAACGCAGAGGAACGCTCTCTACCACAGGCCATTCGACCAATTACGTACTACCAGTACTGCTCGACACGGACGTCAAGCCTTCTCATTGGATCAAAAGGAGCGTAGCACTGCTATGTCAGCTTAACTGAACTAATACACTGTATATAGGTTTTAATAAATGTATACAAATAGCGAAACGATTTTTATTTAAATATCTGGGCAGTTTTGAAGATCTCCGCATTGGAAAAATGTCTTTATTATCACCAAAAGATTCGGAAAATATAAATATAATATAAATAAATATAAATGATTTACCTGCCATAGTAAAAAAATGCAAAATTCAGATTTTCGCCGATGATACTATGATTTATATAAGTACTAAAAATATTCAGTCTGGTATCTCTTATATAAATGAAGACTTGAAGCTTGTCTCAAAATAGTTAGCATCTAACAGACTAAAATTAAATGCAAGTAAAACGAAAGCCTTGTGAATTGGAAAAAAACAATGTACAAATGTTCAACTGAATATTGATGGTGAAGATATTGAATTCGTAGAAAATTTTAAATACCTGGGGGTTTTTGTTGACTCTCGATTAATTTTTGATATTCATTATGAAAAAGTTATAAATAAGAGTAGTAGTAAAGTGGGATATTTATCGAGAGTTTCTGGATGTCTAAGTTCATATAGCAGAAAAATTATCTATAATACCATCATTCTTCCAAATTTCTTGTATTGTTCGACTATTCTATATTTAGCAAATAATTCCATTTTTGAAAGACTGCAAATTTTACAAAATAAGTTCATGAGAATAATACTAAGTAAAGATAAATAATTATATTCCAATTAGGCAAATGCTTAGCAAATTAAAATGGCTCAATGTAAAAAATTTTATCAAATATCCTGTAATGATATTCATTTATAAAGTAAAAAATAATATATTTCCATCAAGTCTAACTAATTTAACATCATCAAATGTCGACCATCATTCACATAGTACCAGAAATAAAGATGACTTCCATTTAATGACCAAAAAGTATAACATATGCTACAAATCTGTATTCCATCAAGGGTTGATTGAATATAATAAATTATACTCGGAGATAAAAGACCAGAAAACTTTGACAAAATTTAAAGTGAAATTGAGAAATCACTTGTTAAATCTACAATTAAAGGTTGCCCAGCATTTACATCATACACCATATGGCTTGAATTTACTAGTTCTAAGTTGTTTACAATTATTCTGTTTATGTAGCCAAATGTGCTAAATAAATCTTTCTACTACTACTACTACTACTAGAAAGATGAACGTTTCAATAATATCACCCTGTGCAATAGCCAATGTGTCATTAATTGACAGTGACAATTGCAAACTATTAATTTCGAAATTCCTGTTTGGCCGAGCGAATGTGCTCAAAACGTGTATATTTTCGTTGAAAGAGTGGCTATAGAAAGAAAAAGGTAAAGGTAAGACTCAGCACTATAAATACCTTCATTTACTGGTATAGATAGTCGCAAAATAATCGGCCAATTTTAAAGGCCTTATGCAGTAAAAAAATCGGATCGCTTCAGCAGATCCAATTCAACTGATTAATTTTTTTTTAGAAAATGAAACGAAAATCCAAAAATCCGTTATTTTTTCCGGGTATCCTGAAGGCCATCTCGCAACTGCAACAGTCAAAGGGTGCCACAGAAGCCAAAATTCTCGACTACATACAAAGACTCATGCTTGTCATCAATCCGTCATCGAACACGCAGAAAGTACATAATCTACCGCAACAGGTAAACAAGCGATTGCAAATATTAGCCTTAATTTTTTATATCGATGGCGTCAAATTCAAATTCCAAACAAAAAACGTTCCAGGTGCGAAGAGCTTTGAAACATGCTCAAAAACTGGGACTTGTTACGCAGAAAGGTGGAAGATATCTCCTCACCATTAATCCAGTCAAGAATAGATTACATCCAGCTAGTAAGAAATCATGCAAACCTAATATTCACTTGACAAGATTCAGGACGTCTACGTCAGTTGGAAAAACCAACAAAGGTAAATACAGGGGTTATTAAATGAACCGACAAGTCGACAGTCTACTTGCCACTGAACAAAATTAAGGAGTCTATATAAGTTTTAAATGTCTCACGAGCAAATTGTGTATTTTACAGTTGGAACTGTAAAAACAAGACGCAGCAGTACCCAACCGGACAAGGCGTGCGGTCATTGCAGGAAAAACAAGCGACGCAGGGCTAAGTCCAGACAAAACCGAAGTAGAAGAAGACGTCGTCATGCTGGTCATGGAAGTTTAGGCAGTCTTGATGACAAAAACGAAGTCGCGTCTTCCGAGGAATCGTTCGAGAGTAACTGACACCTTGACTATGTGACGTTTTCACTTGTAACAGAATCGTTCCGTTCAATAAATTTTGGCTTAGTTCTCATATAAAACAAATACCAATGATACGCTAAAATGTAGCAGGTTCGATAATCATTCTACGCGGTTGTTATGAAAACCCGGCACTGTTATTCTAAACTGTTTAAGAAACATTCGGGTATCTCTCAAAGCATACTCGATTTTTATGGCACGAAGCAGTTGTTTCTAGGCGAGCGTGGGAGTCAAAACATTAACACATCGTTTGATAGCTCCCGAAAATGGACGGAAACTAAAATAAACTGATACGCCGAACAGCGAAGCGATTACGCTCAAGAAAACTGGAATTTAAGGATTCATGCTGGATGATAATTTATCTTTTGTCTGCGCGAATGTTATGTTTATGTTGCCAGTTGTTGTTGTTCATTACCCCGAATGCGTTTAATCTTTCCAATTAAATTAATATATAATAAATCGACGGGTCTGAGCGTTTTTCCAAAAAAAAACTGAGCTGCCAGTAAATGCGTCCCTTTCGTTTTCGATGCGCCACCCTGTATAGATTCACACCCTTAAATATTCGCATATCATTACTACAAGTTTGACTGTTATTGAAATTTCACATTAAATTCGTATTCTTCTGCGAATGCATAAAAGTTCGTGGTTCCAGATGATCCTGGTGTTCCAGGCAGCTGCCAAAAACGGCGAAAACTTCTATGGATGGCAAAAAGCAGTTTAAACTGACTAAGAGCAAATTTAATCTTTTTATCGATAGCCAGAATATTAATCCTAATAAATAACCGTTTAAAATATTTCGAATTTCTAACAGAATCAAAGTATTCTGCCATAACTCCTGTTTTCTAAGTTGTACACCAATATGCGGCCAATTAATCTTTTGCCAGATCTTGAAAAAGTATTTGAAGAAATTATTTACGAACAGATCATGGAATTCATCGAGGGAAAATTTCAGCCAAATTTAAAGCTGGATTCAGGAAGAAACCTGCAATACGAATGGTTTTAGATTACCCGAGGAGATGTTTGGCGAATAGGAAACATGCGATGACAGTGTTTTTGGACTGCAAAATGGCGCTTGAAACTCATCAGGGATAAATTACTATGAAGTGAAAATTGTTAGAAATGCAAGTTTTGTGTTATGTAACTGTTGTAGTTTTTCAAAAGAATGTAATTATAGCATCCATGCTCAATGTTAAACAAACAAAATAAGTGTTATTGTCATCAGCGTTGAGCCGTAGTTGTGAGATAGTTTTCAATTATTTCATTTCACTTTTTGTTTAATCGAGCACCCAGGCCCAATCTAAGGTTTATCAACAGAATTGTTTACATTGAAAAATTAAAAATATTGGAGACACCAAATTTTCATGATCGATACTAAAAAGTATGTATCAACTTTGTCTATCTCATTTTTAATCTAAAAGTTGGAATGATCTCGATAAATATAGTGACAATGGTGATATAGATATTTGCTATTAGCCTAGAATATACTCGGATCACAACTATTTGAAAAAAAACAAGCAGAATTCGTGCAAGTTGTCTCACTATCTCCAATAGCATGTATTCTGCTATTGTTGCTGCTTGATGGATAGAGTATTTAATAATAATAATAATGCCTTTATTATCTGCAGTGAGGCGAAGTTTAGCCAGACGGCTACTCCTCCACTTAACCCCAAAGCAGAGAAAAAAGAAAGAAAAATACATACACATGTTACAAAAAAAAAAAAAAAAGTAATTAAGAAAAAAAAACATAGTTTCATTAAATGAACGACAGATACACAAAACAATCAGGAAAAGACAATCATATACATATATAAACACAGAGAACTAACTTGTCTCCAGCAACTGATTTTTCATTAATTTCTTAAAAGAAAAAACTGGCTTGGATCGATGCGAATGGTTAAGAGCATTGTAATGTTTAACAGCATTATAGGTATAACTCCTTTCAAAGATAAAAGTGTTGTGGAGCGGCATATTAAAATTAATATTAAATCTAAGAGTCCTTGGTACGAAGTTACCACGAGGTATCAATTTGCTAAAAAGATAGGCCGGTCTGTTTGTTAGCAGAACTTTATGAGTTAAGACGTTCAATAGATATAAAAATAGTTTATCAATTTTCAGCCAGTTGAGTTCTCTGATTTTATCCGAAACGTGACTGAACCTACGGAGACCAAATATAAACCTACAGCAGCTGTTTTGAATTTTCTGAAGCTTACATTTGTTATTATAATCTAAACATGGATAATAGAGGACAAGAGAATAAGATATAATTGACAATACAAGAGTTTCGCAAAGCTTTTTACGGGTTTTAAAATTTAAAATATGTCGACTTGAATGTAGAAGTTTCAAGCGCATATACGTTACTCTCGACAAATATGAAACGTGATGATCAAACCTTTCGTATGGTCACCTTACAAAATCACCAATTCGGCAGAATTGTTCATATGCCGTACCGTTAGCAAATAATTACTTCCGTTTTGTTGCCTTATTTAATGTATGCCTGTTTATTAACCATAACGGAGAGATTCAAATCGCAAGGCAGTACGAATATCTCTTGAATATCTTTTTCAAAGAAACGAACGTACGCCGATGTATTGGTTTGACACTTTGGTATTCCAACTAGTCCCTAAAACCACACATTTGGCGACAAGCAATTCGAATTCGTTGGTCCCTCTAGTAAAACATCGCCTTTAAGCTCTATAATCTTTGTACGTAGTCTAAACATACCAGACACTTTTTCAGTGTCGTCCTTCGATATATTTATTCGCTTTGCAAGGCCATCAGTATCTCTGATGTGACAGATTTTATGCCAGACTACTTTGAAAAAATACTCGACGCCCACTACGCGATCATTTTTATTACAACTGTCCTGGCAAAGTTTTCCAAAAAATACGTCATCACGGATCAAGCGAAATCATAGGTGATATTGACTATATGAAATATTGCCGTATAAAGATATGCATGTCTCATAACATATTGGGAGGGCCTTAGAGCTTTAAATAACACCCTGTCCATTTGGCTTAAATAGAAAAATCTTCACAGGCTGAGAAACCTCATTGTTTCAAAAAATGTATTTACCTCTTCGATTGTTCAAATAAGTTTGATTTTCATGACATTTCGATTGATAAGGTAGCTTCAATCATCTTCAGACAAAGTGGCAGAAATGAATCAACTTTACACCAACCCTAATATGTACAGAAAGCAACAACGATTAAATCATATAGCTGAATAATGAAAAGACTGTACCGCTGCCAAAATCTAGGACATTATTAAACTTTAAACATAACGTCAAGTGTATTACTTGCTCAAAGGCGTGTCTGCGTATTAATCAAATTAGTCATATGGAACTAAAGTTTGTTACAACGTCCAAAGTGAATCATGGATACAGTTTGTTCAGTAGCCAAAAATATATATTTCGATAACAAATACAAATTAGTGTTTATACTTACAAACTCTGTTATTATTTCTATGTGATTTGTGTATTTTTGATCGATCCAAGGTTGGATAGATGTAGGTGATTTCTTAAATATATGTTGGGTGTATCTGTAAACAGATTATTAAAAAAAAAAGAATAGAATATCCTCAATCATTATTTGAAACAAACTACATAGTAGAGTTTTGAGTACTATGAATTTATCTAGCGACACTACACCCATTTGGATCATAGTAGCTCGCAATATAATCCAGTTGACGGCTTATTAAAACCGTATTGACATACAGAAATGACCAGGATTTCCAAAACTTATAAATGAGGCGTAAACTTTTTTCGAACATTGCACAATCATTCAGCGTCTGTGAAATCCTGAAAAACATTAATTTGTCAGTCCGGTTGAGAAGTTGTCCCGCATCCAGCGTAATCTCTTCAAAATCTGACACCCCGTTAACGTTTTTGGCTGCCCCATATTGTAAGCTAAATTAAACTAACGGCCAATAATACGCACTTTCGGAAGATCATTGACGTGCGGATGGTAACAGACAAGGTTGCAATCCAGCAGGTTCAGAGTCAGTTCTAAAAGACTTATCGTGATGATCTATGTAAAATTAGATTGCGAGAGGAATCAGAGATTAGAGAACAGTGGGTAGGCGATTATTGGTGATCATATTCGACATACGGAAATAGTAACAGGTTCTTTTTTATGAAGAAATATATGTGAAAAATCTTGTGTTAAGTGTCCGACTTTGCAATGACGTGGTCGATAACAATCTCTCTTTGTCTCTTTAAACATAGTCATTATCAAACTTTTCCAGAAGGGTATGTGAAAAAGCTTTTAATTAACGGATTTCACCTGACAATACCCCAATAAAATATCCGTTAGAGAGACGCCGAAAGGGGATCGATGTTCTTTACGCCATCTATGAGAGGATAGCAGCAACAAACAATTATTTTCAAATAAACAGTGGTCCGCACTGTGGAATCACATCATCAGTATTCTTTGATCGATTCGTCAATATCACTGGACTTCTTCGTAAAGTATTCATCAATAAATACTGACGTATATCAATACACTATAATTACATCGTTTCGTGATAAATACTGCACGCAAGAAAGAGCGATATTGATTCAAAAGCATGAATTTCTATGAAATTATGATATTGATTCGAGATCACAGATACTTCAAATGAGACAATTTCGTTGTTTCGAAGAAACGCACTTACAGTTATTGAGAAATTGACCTTAATTCAAAGATATATGTCTTAGAAACATGCTTAATTAAAGATAGTAGTGCTTGAACCAAGTCACAATAAATCTAAGCTTTATATGTATTTTTAACTCCCAAATTTTCTCTGGTCGAAATATGCAAATAATCCTTACGATGCGTAGCAAGGAATGGGATACCTTTTTTACTAGAAATCTTCTCAAGAACTCGATCATTACAATTCTTGTGAAGCACTCCCTGTACAGAAAAATCCAGCATCGTTTTTGTTACACCAATGGAGGCGAATGCTTCCAGTATGTGGAAAGAGTCGTCGCTGCTGCTTCTGCTGTCTCGTCTATACATAGTTGAAATAGTTATGGAAAGTTTGGAAAATGCTCGGTATTTTTAGACGGTTTCTTAGAAACGTGTACATGCGTCGGTGTGTGTGGGTGGCTATTTTGCAATCTGATAGCTGGGGCGTTGCACTTCTAATGTAATGCCTACAGATTTTTGTATAGCTATTCTTTTGTCAGCCCGGTATTTATGCCAGCAAAAACAATTTATAATAACTTAGAAAATATCGTACGAATCATGTCTTGGCATACGTCTTCTGAACGTGAAAAATCAACGATGTTTACCAATTACTACATTCCTTAATCACCTGTTCTCAGGAACTGTCGCTTTAATGATTCCTCCAATGTGACTGATAGTTTGAATATTGTCATGTTTATTTTTGAATATTCGATTTGGAAAATTTACTCATCTCTAGATATTTACTCGTTAAGGGTCAATGAAAGCATCAAACATGGCGCAGGTCCACGACATAAAAAAGGGGTGTATATTAGGGGCCCCACACTATGTTTTCTCATCTACTTTTTCATGCTGAACACGAATCAAAATTTATATACAGGGTGACTTCGAAGTTGAGTCATTTATTTTAACAGTGAGTAGATCTGATCAAAATAAATGTTTTTTCCTTTACCATTTTTCTGGTAAAATTAAAGTAACAAAGTTATAGCCCTTTGGAAGTTTGGTTACCGCCCTGTCTCAATAATAATATTATGTGCTCGTGTTTGGCGACAACGGATATAATCCGCCTTATCGGTTCATCGCATCGGAAACAAAAAAGCGAAAGAATTTGGAACGATGTTTTTACAATTATTTTATTCAGTTGTGTTGTATACAGTCAGTGTCAGTCGGTAACGCGTGAGTGAATAGTGGTGTCTGTTGCGTGGCTCAAACGAAATAAAAAATGGCACATGTTTATGCGAATCGGTTTCCCAATCGAGTGCAACCAACCCCTCGTGCTTTTGTTAATGTAGTACAACGGGTTCGTGAATCATAAGACCTCACATATGGACGGCATGCCGGTGCTCCAAGACCTCACGGTCAAATACAGGTCCGCACTGAAATACTTGTCGGGAGGATACTTTATAAAACAAGGTAAATTTTTTTTTATTTTTTTTTTATTTTTACACACATATTTTGGTTTATCTTCCTTCTACAATCATTATCTGAAAATTAATGACTCAACTTCAAAGTCACCCTGTATATATACGTATATATATAATAAAAATTTATAATGGATCTACATATCTTCATCTCTGAGAGATGCACGTCCACAAAAAATGCTAACATTTTTAATTGTCTAAATTATTTTCATTTTATCCATCTTTCCCAAATTTCGACATCAGAGTCGTGTTCGTACGGAAAAAGTGCATGGAATAAATATAGTGAGACCGCCAACATTTTTTGTGGACCTGGAGATCGTTTTTTTTTATCCATCGACTCACAAATTTTGGCTTCAGGTTCGTGTTCAGAGTGAAAAGTACATGGGAAAAACATACTCGGAACCCAAGAACAAGCTACTTTGTGTGAGCCTGTGTAATTTTTACTTTAGTTTTAACGAAAAATCCACCATAAAAAACATAAGGATCTACAGTATCTCACTAACTACAAAAGATAGAGAGAACGGTCTTAAAAAGTACTGTAAAATCTTCTTAAAAAAACTTTACACGCATATCAATAAAACTAGGTATGTAAAACATCAAATTCTCATCTTTGTGCGATTATTGTGACTGAGACTAACTTAAATGACTATCTTTAACATTGCCGATGATTTTCATCCAAAGTATTCCGATACAATCACCCGTTTTTTAATAGCACGCGAATATTAAATATAGAAAATGAATAAGTGCGTGCTTACTTGCCAAAAAGTGTTCTCCTTAGGTGTACAGTCGCCGGTGATGTACAATGATGACTCAGAATGCTGGCATGGAACGGTAAAATTAGAAGTCGCATAACGTTGCGTGGGATCAAGAGACAACATAAATGTGCTCTTTCAGGAGAAAAATTATTGCTCACCGGGCTTAGCAAATTTATCCGCATTTTTCCGCTACCGGACAAAATATCCAGATACTCTTTATATGACAGGGTGTTCCTTAACGATATGCGAATACTTAAGGGTGTGAATCTACGAGCCCCTTCCCACTTCAGTTGGCCCACTTCAAGATTTGTACCAAAATATGCCTTTATAAACTAAACTATTTACTTCTAAAACAATTTATTTTCTCAAAAGTCGTAAAAAATACATATTTGAAATCACTTAGACCTATAACTAATAGAACATCTGAACAAATAAACAATGTGCAAATAAATGCGCGAACTTAACAAAGCAACAATTGAAAGATTACCATTGGGTTCACCTTTATTTTTTATTACGGCTGAAATTCTTTGGGGCATAGTGTTAACCAAGTTTTGGCAAAAATTTGGTGTAAAACAATCCCATATTTCTTGAAGCTTTTGTTTCAGTTCGGTGATTGTACGAGCAGGATGTTGTCGTAGAACCTTTTTCATCTCGTGCCACAAAGTTTCAATAGGTGACAGATCTGGACTGCTAGAAACCCATTTCAAAAGTGGTACGTTATTTTCTTCCATCCATTTTATAGCCTTTTTTGAGGTATGGCCACGCTGCACCATCTTGCTGAAACAAAATCTTGGCCGGATGTCAGACATTCTTCTATAACTGGTAAAAGCGATTCTTCTAAAATTGCCAACATGGAATGCTTCATTTTTTTGCGAATAACTGTACTGCGACTGTCACCAACACAAACTTCGAATCGGGCCTCATCGCTCCATTGTATTGCACACCATTGTTGAGGTGTCCATTGTCTATGTTCTTTAGCCCATCTAAGCCGATTTTTCTGTTGCAGTGGAGTTAATAGTGGCTTTTCTTTGGCCTATAAACAAGTTGTGCAATTTAAGGGTTTTCACTTTATAAGAAAACTTACCTTGCAAGTGCTAAATCCCAGTTTGTGGGCCTCTCTATGAGTTGTGGACCTCGAAATTCTTCTTCCAACAGCGTCACTCCACAGAGCACTTAATTGTAAATAATTGGCACGGCTGTTTTTCACGATTATTCTTCTTAATTCCCTTCGGTCGGCATTTGTGATATTACTTTTTTCACATATTGTGGCTTAATATTAACTGAACCAGTTACGTTATATCTTCTAACAATATTTCTCATACTGTACCGCGATAAGTCTAACAAAGTTGCAATATCTGAGTTTGATTTCCCAGAATTAAAAAATTTAATTATCAGTAACCGAATTTTCTCACTAATAACCTTTCCTCTACCCATTTTGAAAACCCAAAACTATTTTAAACGTATTCTGACAGCTGTGATTGATAAAAACAATTGTCATGGCTTTTATTTTTCACAGCCACCTATGCGTTATAGACTTATATTTTGCATTGAAATGAAAATAGGTTGATATGCTGTAATTGCAACATGTGTCATTTTTATGCTGCAAATTTGATTAGAGAGTGATAAAGTTGGTGTTTTCTACTATATATTATCAAAATATTCATTGTTAATATTTTAAACTATAACACCCTGCTACATTT